CTCTCTGCTCCTATGATGCTGCTTGGCCTGCTGTGTTCATCCAGCCCTGCACCTTGTTGTCTCCTTTCTGCACTACATCACTTCGACTTGTACTGCCAAAGGAGTACCTGGTCTTCCTATTCCTCTGATCTCATCATCCATCACCTCATACCTATTTATATTTCAATTAATGTGTTATTCACAAGCCTGTTCTGCTAATTTATTGTTGCCTTCTTGGATTTTGAAACTCAAATCCTGTGGTCCAAATTAGTGCTATTGAACAGTATTTCTGATTTTTCTTTTCTTTAGTCTTCCTTAATATTGATGTTATTTGTGTGTTTGTGACAGATGAACATTTAAGAAGGGATAGAAGTTAAGGTATAGTATGATAAATTAGCAACTCATGATTTCTGATTGCCATTGGTTGAAGACAATTTATTCATAGTACAGAAACCTGGTGACTTTTTTTTTACTGGAGTTCATCAATCAGGTAAAATTAGGAATTATGGATAGTTTGACTAAAATTTTCCCCCCCACAGTTATGAGATCTCAGGCATAGTGGGGCCTAATTTCCAATGCAGTACATCTTTGCCAAATATATTTATTGTGAAAAGATGATTTATCGGTTTACTGTTTTTTACAGAAAACTCGTGAATGGATGCTTTTGCTTTAAACCAAAATGTGTACATTTATACGTATAGAATTGGCCATAATTACTAGCCAGTAAAATTTATGTTGTCATCAATGAAATCATGGGACTAAAAATAGAGATATAGTGCTCTTATTCAACCTTCGTTGTAACATTTTCCTGCTACTGATGAAGGCTAACCAATCTACAGGTTTCTGGTTCAGTTCTATTTCCAATTTTGAATATAAAAATTATGTCAACATTCATTAAGCACTGTAGTCTTTTCTATAAATTTACCCATGGTCCACAAAAACTGACTCACAATAAATGTGATGATAGGAAGAGTAAAGTTGGACTCGATGCAGGTCAGTCACATTGTCATCCAGTATAGAATCACAATAGGGTCAACAGGAGGGGATAAATGGAGCTAACATTGGCAAGGAGAAGAGAGAAGTACGTCAGCAGTTTGTTGCTCCAAATACTTGCTTGATAACAAGACAAATCAGATATTGCTACAGGCAAGATAGCAGTTCAGAATCTTGAGACAGTCATCTGGCAGATTATGAACAGTAAAGACACTTATTCTCACAAAATCAGGTTTTAACATATCATTTTTTTTTTGTATTCTTCAGATACGTCCAAGTGTTTCCTGAAGGCAAAAAAATTCTTCTGTGCTTCAATGCCTTGGGAATTCTTCTTGATTACCTAACAAAGGTTGGATTTTGTCTCCAGAATACTAGATCAGTCTATCACCAGGAAGGCACAGTGGAATGTTATACGTTCAAACGCAATATGAACTAAAACACTTCCTGCATCAGCGATCTGTTTTCACTAGTATAATGAGAAAGCTGGGCAACTGTCTGTGTCGATGTATTTACTCTTAGAAACAATGATATCAGATAGTCATTGTAAATGTACAAAATCCCCACTAACTTTAACTGATTTTTTTTGCCTTTTACAGTTATTGTCCCTTTTCTCTTATTTAGATTGACAGTTTTAAAATTGGTGTAATTGTGAATCATAACAATAATAATTTAAGGAGAAAAATTTATCGATGAAAGGGTGATCCAAACCAAGCATTGTGTTACAACTGCAGCATAGTGGGGTCTAGAACAGGGTTTGGAGGACATGGGAGAATTCACCTTTGTGGTAAAGAAAATCCAAAAAAAGAAATACTGAATTTCCAGCTCAGTAAACAGACCAATGAAAAGTATAAGGTTAAACCTACCAATTAACTCTTCATTTGAAATTTTAGCCCAGTATAGAACACTGCTGCATACAACACAACCAATTTAGGATCATCATGAGTTTGTAATTTAGCCTTTATCCTTGCTAGAAGTAACATACATCCATTTCTTCTTTGCAAACGTAAGAAATATGTATACGCCTTGAATTAATCAGAAGCTCGCAGATCTGTTCCCTGCTACTGCTTCAACCAAAGCTGAATTGCTACTAATTAGCACCTTCCTTGGAATACATAAAATATTGTGATCATTTAAGTTTGGTCTTCTCATGTTTGTGCTGATAAGTCAAAAGATAAAAAGCTCAGCAACAGGTCTCTCTTTACAACAATAACTGAAATTAACAATGTGGTTCTTAAATGTTGAGCACTTGGGGTAAGAATGGAGAGCACCATTGAAACTGTAGGTTGATATAACCAAATTTACTTGATTATTTTTGGTGAAAAGAGTGTGAAGATTATTTCGTATAGTACTTGCATTTATGTATTAATTTCAATTAAACAATTCCATTTAAGTAGTGGCTTTCACAACCTTAAGATAGTAACTATTGAGGTATAATCATTGCTGTAGTGTGGAAAATAGAAGAGTTACATTTGGAGGCAGTACAGAGGAGATTCACTTGATTGATTCAAGAGGTGAGGTGTTTGTCCTTTGAATAGAGATTGAGCAGTTTAGGCCTATACTCTCTCAAGTTTAGAAGAATGAGGGGAGATTGAATTGACAAAGTACACATAGAGAGGATGTTTCCTTTTGCGGCACAATCTAGAGTTTTAGGATAAGGCGTAGAAGACTTTAAACAGAGGTGACAAATTATTTCTCTAAGGGTTACGAATCTGCACAATTCATTCCCCAAAGTGCGATGGATACCAGGTCAAACAGTAAAGTCAAGGAGGACATAGGCAAATTTTTGATTAGTCACGGGTTAGAGGGTTATGAAGAGCCGGCAGCAAAGTGAATTTGAGGCCAAGATGAGATCAGCTGTGATCACACTGAATAGCAGAGCAGGCTTGTGGGACTGAATTGCCTACTCCTGCTTAAAGTTATTACATTTATTCGCACACAGCAAGCTCTCACACACAGAAGTAGCAATATCTGACTTTTTTTAAACAATAGTGTTAAGGAATAAGTATTGCCAACACAGTGGTGAAATCTTCGTACCTTTTATTTGAAATTGTGCTCCCCCCAGGGAAGCAGATGTGGAATAAAAATAGAAAATACTGGAGAAACTCAAGTTCTGGCAGCATCTGTGGAAGGAGAATCAGTGTCAATGTTCTGAATCAGAAGAAAAATCTTCAGAACTGGAAGGAAATGGAAAATTGCGAGTTTTACGCTATTGGCAGAGAGGAAACAGATTGTGGAGCAAAAACAGAAATTGCTGGAAAAACTCATCAGGTCTGGCAGCATCTGTGGAGGCAAAGCAGTTACATTTTGGGTCCATTGACACTTCTTCAGATGCTGCCAGATCTGCCGAGTTTTTCCAGCAATTTCTGTTTTGGTTTCTGATTTCCAGCATCTTCAGTTCTTTCGGTTTTTGGTTTCACATCGTGGACCAGCTGGTGAGAGTGTCCACAGCAAGACCAAGGGTGTGCTAATGGAGGCAAAGGAATGATCGAGATGTAAAATAAATGATAGGCCTGAGAAAGGAGAAAATGGGTCTGTTCTGTGGGTGGTTTTAACTAAAACGAAGGACAGTGGTTCGGCCCTGAGATTGTTGAACTCAATGCTGAGTTCTGAAGGCTGCAGCGTGCTTCAGCACCGAATGCGATGTTATTCCTCCAGCTTGCATGAGCTTCATTGGAACATTGCAACAGTACCAGAACGGGAGTTAGCATTAACAGCAAGCTGGTTTGTTGAAATGGCAAGAAACTGGAAGGTTGAAGTCATTCTTATGGATACAATGGAGATGTTCTGGAAAACGGTCACCCAGTTCGTGTTAATATCAAATTTAAAAAAACATCATGCATTATCAACTGTTCAGAGCCCCTATTATCACTTTTCCAGCTTCTCTACTTCCCTGGCTTACTAACATCAGACAAGCCCTTTGTCTGCCTACCCTTTATTTTTTTTCCCTCTCTCTGAGCTCTGTCTCCAACTATCCACTCACTCTTTTATCCTCCCAGCCCCTACCGTCCGCATATTTCCTGGGTGCCTTTAGTTCTGAAGGAGGTCACTTGTCTTGAAATGTTAACTGTGTTTTCTCCACAGATACAATGGACCAAAGGGCCTTTTTCTGTGCTGCAGTTAAGTTTCGGTTTTTGTTTGTTTCACGACTGATAGCACACGTCCCCAATACTACATTTGACAGAGAGCCTAGCTTTTGTACTCAGGTTTCTGGAATGGGGCTTAAACCTACAAGCTTAGACAGGAGTGCTTTCATTGAACCACTGCTTAAAAATGGAACAAAATATTTATTACTGTGCACTAACTGTCCTATACATGTGCCACCACCACCACATTACCATGAAATCCGCAGTTTTAGACTGTTCGCTTTCATTTATGAAGTCACTGATCGAAAAGGTAATGAAAATCTTACAAATAATAAAAAAAACTGTATCACATGATCAAAAACAAAGAAAAGCTTTTCATTTTAATTTTCAACAAAGTGAAAGAATAAGTCAATTGGCGGCATCATATTTTATTGTTATTTTGGGTAGGAAGCAAATTAAACCTCCACAACTTTGGGAAATACAACTCTCAACATTATAAATGGGTCACATTGAAAGCAGAGCATAGATGCCTTCCTTTCAGCAACAGTAATCTGGCACCTGTGTAAAGCAAGCACAGTACTCCCCGAAACATAAAATCGTATTTTGAATTTCCAGAATATACAATACATATTTTGACAGCGGCTGTGAAAAATCTGTTATTGAACAGCAACTGGGATCTTTGCAAAGCACCGTTAATTCCTCTGTGCCATGTTTGAACCAGATTTTGCTCACATTTTGATACCACTGCAGGAGATCCATTAATAATGCAAATAATGAAGAAGAAAGAGCAAATTGTAAAATAGCAAGAACATCTTTCTTCTGGTAGACATGAAGGAACAAGCAGTTATGGATGAAGTGACAACAAATCTCTGTAAAATCAATAAATGCTATGACTGCTGAGCAGAATGTCGTAACATCTGATGTGCTTTCTTTTGTGACATTGATTTTTTCTAGTACCTCTAACACTCCTGGTTGGTGCACCTGTCATGCCAATTTTAAGGTCTGCTTGAAACCTGTACAATCTGGCAGTTAATATGTAAATATACAAAAATGCTGTTCTTCCTATTAGGTCAGTCCCTTTATTATTTAATACACCAGGTCTCACACTGAAACAGATTGAGAGATCTCTCAACACTCTAATTTCAAATGTATATCAATGAAATATTCTATTTCCCTTTGAATCTCAATTTAACTGTAGTCCCCGTTGGTTTACTGGCCCTAGTAATGTAAAAGTTGCATTGAGGGTGTATTTTATGTAAAATATGCCATTTTATATATTAATCAGATTCCTTCATTCATCTTTACTCGAGACTTGAGCTTTAAGCATCTTCCATCAACCCTCATCCCATCTGCCCTTCTGTTTTTCAAACCTTTTCCAATGCATATCGCACAAATGTGGTGATAAGAATTATACAATATTCCATTCATATAGTTTTTAAAATTAACAATTGTGGTTTTCTTTCATCACCCTAAATTAGCTGTGTGAATTCACAATAATCAATAGGGCTTGGTATACAATTTCATTCATTCAAACCTTTCAAGTAATCTGTATCAGAATTGCTACTGCAAAGTCAAGAGGCTCACGGCCAGCAACTTAAAAAAAAAGAAAAAAAAACACTTTATTAAAGAAAGTACCACACACCCATAGTACAATGGAATCGTGTGTTCACCCAAATGTTGGTGGGTGAACCCGCATTTTTAAAAGTGAAACGAAATAAAGATAATAGGCACAGTCTACTGAAGAACTTCCAACGACAGTAGTAAACTACATATGAAGCTCAAAAAATATCAGGTTACAGAAAGTGACAGTATAACAGACGATAATCAGTGTGACTTGCTGTAAATCATTTGAGGGCACTTTAGGATTTAGCTAAGACATCTCATCTATCATAGAGGAAGCAAAGTTTAGAAAAGCACTTTCAATGAACAGCTGTGGGTCTGTGGAGCTGAAAAGAATTATACAGTAGAACAGCCTTCCATATAACTGGAAGGTGAATGTTTCAGAAATGCCAAATAACAAGGATGGGTGAGGTTTTTAATTACATTGGGAGTTTAGAGTCCCAAGTGCCTTGAACTGTTCAAATTTAAGGAAATAATTCTAACATTTTCGTGCCACGGCAGAGAATCAACTTGATTTGTATTTTACGTGCCACCGCTTGTAATCATATAAAACATTGAAAAGATCTGATCAAATTGAAAATTCAGAATCATAAATTCAAAGTTCACATTTCAGCGGTAGAATGCTGAATGGGCAACAGCAAAACACAAGTAGCATTTAAACTTAGCTACTTAGTAATTAATCCAGCATCTCAAACTTTACAAAATTACAGGCTATGACAGAACAGATCTTTCCACTACAAGAGGGTGAGAACTGATTTGATCATTAAAGACAGGTCAATTCAAATCCAGTCTACACAGGCCACCACTAGGGATTTCAATTGCTTGTGTTTTTGCACATTTTGTAATGATATTTTAAACGTATTTCAGTCTTTAACACGCTGAGCAAAGCAACCAAGCCCTGTGGACAGTCCATTACTGCACAGCTGTGTAACTTTCCTAGTTCCTACTTCAATTTCCTTTACAGACAAATCCAAATGCCCAGTTTGTGCCAATTAATGCTGAATCACGGATGGCTTAATATTGTGAATTTGCATCTGATTTAGAAGCAGATTCAGATTCTTGGTCGTTTCATCTAAACAACAGAGAAAGGCAACTTCTATTCACTGAGCTGACTGAGAGGCAAACTTTGTTCCCTACTGGTGAAAGCAATATAATATTTCACTGTTGGCACCCAGTCATGAACTTGACCATACAGTTAAAACCTGGTCAACATACAAGAGATGGCCAGTCTAAGCAAGTTCTTGAAAGTTATTGGTGTTATCATTCTCATCTTCTCAGAGTTCTGGGCTATTATGTTCAGCATGCAATGTGCCAAAAACATTTCTCTTCCAATAGAACAAAAAAAAATCACAACAGACAAGTGGAGCGCAAATATCAATGAACAAAAAGATGCTAATTGTAAAAGTTTACAATTCATCTTCTAGAATGTTTCTTGCAGAAATATCCATGCTTCATTGAAAATAATAATGTAGAATGTAGCTGAGCAGAAGGTCACACCATGGTCAAGGCCATAGCGAATAGTTCTATTATTACAGTGGGATTCAAAGAAAGTAAGCAGCTTAGGAAATTTCTGCAGGTTTGGGGAAAGCCTGAAATGTTGTGTAAAAATTGCTCGCTCTGGTATGTTAATTAACTTCTGGCAATGTTCTGTACACTGGTGCAACTGTGCGGAATTTCTTCTAGTACAAGTCTGCAGCAAGTTTCTGCCATTTGAGGTGTTCAAACTATCAGCAATGATACAAAGATTTGTACACTTGTAAATCATTGCAGGCATCAAGCCCAGTAAAAGAACTCTCTTCCTCAATTACACTGCAAGGAGGCAGGGTTAATGCAATTAAGTGCAGGTATCTCTGAACATACACATCAGTAGTTTGTATAAGGACAAAATGTACTTTGGGTCATTTTTACAAATACTAACCTGATACTGGTTTTACACTCAAGATGTACCATTGATGTACAATGGTGCATTCAGAGAGATTTCTCAAAAGACTGTGAAGATTAAGTTGGATTTATACTATTTGAAGGCCTTCGATGTATGCCTGACCAAAATGCTCTATTTGGTTCGCAAAGGAATAAACAATAAATATATTACCAATAAGCAGTCACTCAGAGTAGCAGACATTGTAGAATATTTACAGAAGACATCTCGTGATCCACATTTTTCAAATGCACAATTCTCGTCCAGAAAACAGCAATAAAAACTAATCGCTGTATATTCCAATATAAAATCTTCTATACAGAAATTACTGGATCTTGCAATATTCCACTGTAATGTTGGCATTACTTAGATATGGACATATACAACACAGCAGTGTGGCATTTAAGCATCTTGCTGAAAATACAGGCTTATAGAATACTTTAACTTAAAACAAGGATTCATCCTTGTCTGCCCTTAAGTAAATGGATAGTGAGAATGAAATCAAGAGGTCGAGAGAAAACTAGCAGGAGCGTGGGAGTGCAAGAAAGATTGAATGTGAGAGATTACACACGTGCGAGTGAGAGGAATGAGTTATGAGGTTCATGAATACACTTTCCTGGACAAGAATAACACAACATGCACTGTGTTGACCAACTAAAACAACATAAATTCAGGAGTTTGAAAAGCAGTGTATTGGAAGTTTTGGGTTTTAAATGAATGGTAATTGAAATCATCCCTATGACATTTAGTCTTTCCTAAATCCCACTGACGAATATACAGAAACCATCTGATTTTCCATGATTGAGTTTGTCCCTGAGGTGAATACCTATACATTTTCCAGTGATCTTGCACTCCCATTGCTTTATCTGTCCACAGAACTGAACCTAAATTATAATACACCTTTATAATAAGAAAGAAAAACACAATTACAAGCACATTCCCATTCCAGTCTCTTAGCTCTTTGTCACATTTGAGAAGATTTCGGTAGAAAAAAGGAGGAACTCCTTAAACAGAGTTAAACAATTTCACATTCACAGCTTAAAGTTCACCGTGTGGGGTGTGACCTACAAAATGAAAGAGATACCAGAAGTTAGAGATCAACAATTCACATCACTGTGGCAAGACAAAGTCCACCATAATACTACTAAATTGATCAAATTTCAGTTCAAAAAGGCAATCAAACACTCCTAGTTTCCACCATGACCTCCCCCTCTTCCTGCTGCTGTCTACATCAATTCAGGTTTTCATCACAAGGATTATAATACCCTCTTTGCATTTCAGATGCCACTAAATCTATGCAAAGGTTCAGAAATATACACTGCCTCCATATTAGTTAACTGAACTGGCATCTTATCCTGTTTCTAGTCACATTTTATTTTGCTCAATTTTTGTTCCAAGATTGACACATTATAAGATTCATTCAATCAAAAAATTTTACACAAAAATATTTTATAAATCACTTCAGTATAGGTGAAAGACAAATCAAAATCATCCCCAGATGATTTACATCAGTTCGTGCTCTCAATTTGAAATTTTTGTCAGGTAAATTGGATATCACATGTCAGTTCCTTACCAAAAACATCTATTGGAGGGCAAGGCAAACTTTAGGGGCTTCTAACTCAGCAAATGAGAAAGTATGTAAGTGCACCACAGTTATACAATGACTAGCAGTGTAAGGAACCAAGCATGTGCAGACAGATTCAATGCTGATTGCACATGTGCGACTGTTTCTGGTGTCAGGCCGATTGGCATCAAGCATTACAATAAAAAGAAAGTGCAGGTCTTACAGAAAGCTTCAAAGGCGATTCTTCAAGGCTAAAAGAAATACTTCTAGGTTAGCTGGAGCTGGCTAATGATCAGAGCATGATGCAGGTTTTTCTGGAGGAGTGCTTGCAGCATACATATTAAGGAGGTGACTACTTGAGAGTTTTACGAGTAAGTATGTATTCAAGATTACTTATTAAATACTCTAGTTTGATTTGTTTTTTGGGTTTTGCAAGTATATACACTAATTTCAAATTTACTGGATTAGTAAAATATTCTATTTCATGCAATTAATGCTGGAATGAACAGTGACACCCACATCCTGTGAATGATTTCAAAAAAAGACAATACTTTTCCCAGAGAATGTAGTCTGCAGTTTAGAAAATTAAGAAATAGAATTATAATTTTTCTTGTATGCGCATTGGTACTTGTGGATTTTTAAAATTCATTTAAGGGACATGAGCATGATTGGCTAGGCCAGGATTTATTGCCGATACCCACATGTCCTTGAGAACACCGTGGTGAGCTGCCTTCTTCAACCATTGCAGTACCCAGTGCAGCAGGGAGAGAATTTCAGGGTTTTGATACAGTGACAGTGAAGGAACAGCAGTATACTTCAAGACGGTGAGTGGCATGGAGGGGAACTCGTAGGAAGTGGTGCTCCCATGTATCTGCTGCCCTTGTCCTTCTTGGTGGCAAAGGTCATGGATTTGGAAGTGCTGTCCAAGGAGCCTTGTTGACTTGTTGTAGTGTACCTTATAGATGGTACACACAGCTAAAACTGTGCAGTGGTGGTGGAGGGAGTGAATTTTGAAGATGTTATATGGTCTGCCAATCAAGTGGGCTGCGGCCCTGGATGTGTCAAATTTCTTTAGTGCTGTTGGAGCTGCGCTAATCCAGGATACTAATCAATCAGTATAGCAGATGAAGACGGGAAAGATGCGGTCGGTGGACAAAGACATGAAGTTGGCATAAGGGTATGTGGGTCCGTGAGGGATGGGCAGAGGGCATTAGGTTGTATGAGTTGGGACAGGGTCCATGTGCTGGTGAGGGAATGAGAGGCTCAAGTGTTGGTGGGGTGTTCTACATTTCCTCCTTTTTGGAGGGGTAAGGTCAAACTTTGGATCTGGTCCTGGGGCATTTTTGGTGGAGGTAAAGCATCATTTGGCAAAGTCAAAAGGCATGTTTGTGTGTAAGAAGTGCATAAAGTTGTCAAGAATTTGTCCAAAGCAAAGTAGTGAAGATTTTTTAAAAAGTGCCTGCTTTTGTAAAAGCATGATAGTTTTCAAAATCCTATCTTTTCCACAATGGGGTGCTTATTGATGGACAGCTTCTCCTGCTAATTGAATGGAAATATTTGTTGGCCAAGCTTTTAATCATTTAATTAAAATGCTTAGAGTAAGAGAGTCACAGAGTTATACAGCACGGAAACAGACCCTTCCATCCAACTCGTACGTGCCGACCAGACATCCAAATCTGACCTAATCCCATTTGGCAGCATTTGGCCCATATCCCTCCAAATCCTTTGTATTCATATAACCATCCAGATCCTTTTAAATGCTGTAATTATACACAGCTTCCTCTGGCAGCTCGTTCCATACACACACCAGCCTCAGCATGAAAGAGTTACCCCTCAGGTTCTTTTTAAAATCTTTCCCCTCTCACCTTACACCTAAGCCCTGTAGTTTTGGACTCCCACCTCCCCCAAACTTTTGAAAAAAGACATTGGCTGTTCACCCAATGAGAGGCTTTGGGGACATACATTGGCATGGATGGTACATAGAGAGGGAGGAGATGAGAGCAGGAGGGATATTTTCTCCTTTTATTGTAGTGTGGGTCCCCAGGTAGGCTTTCTATCCAGCCCACCTCAAGAACTAGGCAGCTTCTTAGTCTCTTCCCAAATCACAAAGCCTAACTCCCAAACCAGTCCACAGTCTCTGAATGAAAACACAAAATGTGAGCAGCCATTTTTAAAGGTCAAAATTGCGGAGTCAGGCTTTCTCCCAACTCTGCACCTTCAAAATGGAAATACAACTTTGCTCTAGAATTACAACTGAATGAAGTAGACTTTCCAACCGCCTGGTTGTGTCATCACTATCTATTTCCACCGCAGTAACTTTCTTTTTATTTGTTCAGGGGATATGGAATTCGCTCTTATTGCACAATGGTGAGTTGCCTTCTTGAACCCACTGATATGCATTCAGTGTTGGTACATATGCAATGCTGGTAGGTAGGGAGTTCTAGGATCTTGATTGCAGGAACAGCAAGATAGTTCCAAATCACTATGATATATATGTTGGAAAGGAATTTACAGGTAGTTTTCCCATGTATCTGCTGCCTTTGTCCTTCTACGTGGTAGTAATTGTGGGTTTGGAGTGTGCTATCTAAGAATATTGGTAAATCTCTGCACTGTATCTTGTGGATGATACATACTGCTGCTACTGAGCGTCGGTGATGGAGGGTGTAAATATTTGTGGATATGTTGCCAATCAAATGGGCTGCTTTGTGTGTTGTTAGAGCTGCACTCATCCAGGCAAGTGGGGACTATTCCATAATCCTCTTAACTTATGCCTTATAGATGGTGAACAGGCTTTAAGAAGTTAGATGATCAGTAAGTCGCTGCAGGATTCCTAGCATCTGACTTGCTCTTGTAATCACAGTGTTTAAATAGCTAGTCCAGTTCCTTTTCTGAGTGATAGTAACCACCATGACTGTTAATAATATCAAGGGCAATGGTTAGATTCTCTTTTGTTGTAGATGGTCATTGCCTAATTACTTAAAATGATCTGATTCAGCTCATCAGCAGCTGAAATTCTCATTCGTGATTCTTAATACTCTCAACTTGACCATTCCAACGCACTCCTGGCTGGACAAACACACAACCTTCAAATGAAAATTCTCTTTCTGGTTTTGCAAATTCCTCCACGACGTACAGCCTTCCTATCTCTAATTTGTATTCCTCTAATTCTGACCTAATGAACATCCCAGATTTTAATTGGTGACTGTTGCTGAGGTCCAAATTACTGGAATACCCTGTTTATAGCTCTCCACTGCTCTATTTGCTTCTTCCTTTAAGATACTCCCATAACCCTAACTTTTAGACCAAACTTTCAGTCATCTGACTCAATATCTCCTTAAGTGGCTCAGTGTTTGTTTCATAATGCTCTTGTGAAGTGTCCTTGAGATATTGTAATGTATTAAATGAACTATAAGTTATTGTTGCATGGATTCACTCTAAAATAGCACTCACTCATTTCAAATGCCTTGTAAAATGCCTTCTAACATCAACAAACTCACCCTCTGTGCTGGTTATGTCATCTGTATCTGCATGAGATAATCCATTCAATTTCCCCTCCTGGAACAATTTCTGAAGCTGTTTTAGCTCTTGATCATAGTCTTGCCATTCAGGAACAATTCGCACTGCTGCCTCCAGTTTGGGTTCTTTAGTCATTGGGTTATTGCACTAGGAGGAGGTTAAAATAAATGCCATTCATAGAAATGTCACAACATAGCTCAATGACAGCGAACAAGACTGGAGGTGATCTGTAACATTTTAGTTAATGAATTTTTTGAGTTATTAAAATGCCAGTGATCTGGTCATCATTGTTTCACAGGGTCTTACAATGTACACTCCTACCTCGGCCCTTTCAATACACAAACTGATAACATGAATTGAATGTGATCTCAATTTCAGCAAAACATTGGTTAAAGCAGGTATTATGCTCTGTTGATTAATGTCTCCAGTGGTGCAGCTGAAGAGGCTCTGAAAATATATGTTGTTAGTCAAAACTAGCAAACCATCTACCTTCGGAGAGTTTAGTCCTACTGCTATTTTAAAACTTCAAATCATATCTCTTTGAAGTTGACAATTTGCACAAAAAAATAGCACCAGTTCTCTCAGTTTCTCCTGGTAACTGGTGCTCTTAAAATATACACCAATGTAGCAGCTCTTCTCTTAACACTATCCAGGATAACCATATTCCCCAAGACAGGATATAGCAGGCCTTCTACAAAGACAGGAGTGTTTACTTCTTTCATATTTGAAAGCGAAACTTGCCAAAGTGCCAGAAGTCCATAGGCTGTTCACTCATTAGACAGACAGAGGGCTGGTGTGAGTTTAACATGAGGACCACCCTGCCTCAGAGGAGGGCAAGATTGAGAAGGCCCGTACTTCATATGAAATTGTTTGGGCAATACGTCATAGTTCAATTTCCTTATAGCCTCATACCATAGCACAGTTTATAGACCTTTAAGGACTCGTCCACCATTATTGCTAGACCCTTGTTCTGCTTAAATCCTTGTTCACACAACCATGCTTTGTGAATATATTCATCTTAGTTGAACCTAGCCAAGCTACAGAATAGAATCATAGAATACCTAGTGTGGAAACAGGCCATTTGGCCCAACAAGTCCACATTGCCCGTCTGAACAGCACTCCATCCAGACCCAACCCCTACACTTCCCCTGCAACCCTACAGTTCCCATAGCTAGTCCACCTTATTTACACACCTCTGCACACTACATGCAATTCAGCATGGCCAATCCACCTAACCGGTACATCTTCGGACTGAGGGGGGAAACCGGAGCATCTGGAGGAAACCCACGCAGACACGGGGAGAAGATGCAAACTCCACACAGACAGTCGCCCGAGGGTGGAATTGAACCTGGGTTCCTAGCGCTGTGAGGCAGCAGTGCTAACCACTGAGCCACAGAGCCACCCATTTCACTGCATTTGTCTGTCTATATAAGAGTCTTCTGGCAGACACAGACACATTTCCCATTATATCTAGTACTGCTTGCAATCTTTTTTCCAAAAACAGATTTGTTTTGATGTCTCAGTGAATAGCAAACATTATGTCATGTACTTACCAAATCAATAGTTTTAGCTCTCTTCTTTGATGCTTCATCACACCAGGTCTCGCACCACAGCCAGTGCTGGGGAAGGGATTTAATGGGCACTTGATGGATCATGTTGTTAGGCAGATCCTATAAAACACGTGCCCCACACAAGAACAAAGTAAGTAATTTCAAGAATTTTCTGATTATTATGTAGTGCTGCAATTTAAAATTAATAAAGTTGCTTTAACTACTACTTGATTTAAGCTTGTTTTCTTTATAGGGAAAATCTGCCGCTGCCCACACAAAAACTGGACAGCATAATTGTAAACACATCAGTCATGGCACCGTTCTCCAATGGCAATCAGCCACTGCTAGTTTCAATAATTAACATTATCAACATTAAATCTAAAAGGTTTCTCATTTAGACACCGCTTCTACAAGCCACCACCACTTCAAAGCATTTTACAGCCAAAAATGTACTTACAAAGTGCAGTCACAGTTGTAATGCAAGCAATGCAGTAGTCAATTTGCACACAGCAATGTCTCACAAGCTAAATGACAATCCATTTTAATGATGCTAATTGGAAGATGAATTTTGCTCGGACTCTGAACTCTTTCTTGAATCGTATCAGGTGATCTTTTACATTCAGGTGAAGGGGCAGACAAGGGCTCTGTTTAACATCTCCCACAAAAGTTGATACATAATAGCGCAGTGTCCATCACTACTCTAATACCAGCCTCAATTTTCTACTCAAGCGTCTGGAATGGGACTTATTCCAAAGACCTTCTTCCACAGAGCTTAGTGGGCTACCACAGATTCGTGGCTGACACCTTATTTCATTCAAGAAAGAAATGCAGGTCACCTGTCAATTGATGTTAATGTTCATTTTATTTTAGCAGGTCAGGTACTGGTCATTGCCATACAAAAGCAACTTCACTCAATGCAAGAAACGTTGCATCAGACGTCCTGTGACTGCACCTCAACTTCCATGATTAGGACAACAATGCTTGTAATTCAAACACACTGATTTCAGCTCAAGAACAATCTTGATTTTATTTCATGATGTAGTCTAACAATAAGCTAAAAGGATAGTTGGCAGAAAGAGAAAAGGTCGTGAAATGGAGAAAGAAGAATAGAGAGAGTATATGAAATCTCAAGGGCAAGACATAATTGGTTTAAAAAAAACGGCTGAACCATATGTTATTAATGACAGAATCCTACGTCTTGTATCTGAGATTCAGTAGCTGGAGTGGGGAAGGGTTATGGGAAAGAAGAGGATATACTGTCACTTGGTCTTCATTTCTGGTATCAGCCTCTTTTATTAGATGCAGTTTCTCTCCCTCTGCAGAGAAAATAGATTTTCTGGAAGGCGAAACACATTTACATGCCATTCAGCCTTTTGGGATTGTGTTCCAGACTTCCATTGTTCTTTGCGAAATAAAACATTGTTTTTGTTTTAATTTCACTCTTACATAGCCCTGCTTTAATTTATTGTGCCTTCTTCTTCTCAGCTTTTCTATTACATAGCAAATACAGAGGAACTATTTCCTGTTGAATTCTTGAATTATTTTAAACACCTCACAGATCAGCACTCAACTTTGGGTTGGGAATGCAAACCACATTTATGAATTTTATATGCTTAACTTACCTTCTGAATTGTGATATTCTGATGAAATTGGACTGTACTCCCTCCAAGGCCAATATTACTTCCAAAGATACTCTATCCAAAATTGAATGTTGTACCTCAAAAGAAATCTATACAGCTGAAACATAATCGCTTGGATTCCTGTGATTAAAGCTAAAGGTTTCCTTGTCTACCCTTCTTACAGGCAGTGAATTCCAGATACCCACCACCCTCAGTGAAAAAAAAAGTTCTCCTTGAAACTCGTTCCCCTCACCTTAAATCTATGCCTCTTGGTGATTAAGCCCTCTACTAAGGGACACATTTATTCTTATCCACCCTTAGTTATCTCTGATACAACGGAAACAACCCTAAACAATGCAGTCATTCTGCACAACTGAAAAGATCAAAGCCTCTGCATAATCTCCAAAGCAATCACATCTTTTCCACAGCATGGCAACCAGAAATGCACACAGTACTCAAACTGTGACCTCACTAATGTCCTATACAGCTTCATCATAACCTCCCACTCTTGCATTTTATAGACTAATTAGGCAAGTACCCCATATATCTTCTTAACCACACAAACCAAACTATTCATGTGGAAGTGAAAATGCTGGGTGACTTCAGCTCGGTGCTTGCTTCAAAAGACAATCACTTTGGAGACCCGGCACCAAAATCTTTGGGCATGCTTCATGGGCGCCAGCCACGTGCAACCAACATCCACATACATTGGCATCCAACATGTGCCAGTCTTTAAGAACCCTTAAGGCACATCTCTGATCCACTGACAGGATGTTTGTGCACTTCAATGCTGCACCTCAGGGGACAATGGAAACTATCGTTGTAATGCTGTAGCAAGGACACTTTGGGGTCAGGGACCCATATGCAACTCAAACTGCATTACCAGGGAAACCAAGCGGAGGCTTGGGGACCGCTTTGCGGAACACCTACGCTTGATTCGTACTAAACAACTGCACCTCCCAGTCGCGAACCATTTCAACTCTCCCTCCCATTCCTCAGACGACATGTCCATCCTGGGCCTCCTGCAGTGCCACAATGTTGCCACCCAAAGGTTGCGGGAACAGCACCTCATATTCTGCTTGGGAACCCTGCAGCCCAATGGTATCAATGTGGACTTCACAAGCTTCAAAATCTCCTCTCTCCCTACCGCATCCCAGCTTGTCCCCGCCTCCTTAACCTGTCCTTTCTCCCACCTATCCCCTCCTCCCACCTCAAGCCCCACCCCCATCTCCTACCTACTAGCCTCATCCCACTCCCCTGACCTGTCCATCCTCCCTGGACGGACCTATCCCCTCCCTAACTCCCCACCAACACTCACCTTTACTGGCTCCATCCCCGCCTCTTTGACCTGTCTGTCTCCTCTCCACCTATCTTTTCCTCTATCCACCTCCCCCTCTCTCCCTATTTATTTCAGAACCCCCTTCCCCTCCCCTATTTCTGAAGAAGGGTCTAGGCCTGAAACGTCAGCTTTCCTGCTCCTCTGATGCTGCTTGGCCTGCTGTGTTCATCCAGCTCTACACCTTGTTATCTCTGCATTACCGGCCTGGTCATTTGCCTTCTTAGTACTCCCTTACTCTGACCTCACCTGAATGCTCACAACATCCCTTTCTCGACTTGTCTTTTTACGCCTTGCCCATCAGCCAGAGATACCAGGCTCATAGTATTGCTGTACTGTCATGCCACTTAGCGCATACAAAAATAAGGAAGCTATGCCTATCAGCAGCCTTCAGACAAGTGAAGGGAGATAGACTTGGTCCAAAGAGGCCCAGCACAATAAGTCAAGGTCAGCCTTCAATGTCTATCAAGGGGCTTGGGCACAGTCAGTCAGCTCCTTGGGGAGGTTATATTCCAGATCTTCTCCACATTAGGGATGAAGAGTTGAACTGGGCAGCCCACAATCCACTTTGAATATTCTGGTCCTACTGGGAGCCATTTGCCTTATAGAATGAGACAAAGAGACACCCACAGGTATTAAAGGAGATGAAAGTAGGTGGCAAAGCTGTTACCTTCCATGTAGGTGGGGAAATGTCACAATGAAGTGAGTGACAGCAAGTGAGGGATGATGTTGCATGCAACAGTGAGAGTGGTAGAGATTGAGCCCTTGGTGGAAGGTGGGTACAATAGCAAAGACAAATTGAGAGTGAGGTTTTGTAAAGAAAGCACTTCTACTGGTGAAGAAGAGGTGGACATTGACCTTATTGCTACATTGCTGGGCATACTTCCAGACAGCTAAGACTGCACGGACCCAGGTGACAACCTCAGATGGCGCTGGTGCCAGTCCACTGTGGAATACCCCAACAGTGGAGGGTGGTAGATTCGGTCTAGAATTGGACAAGAGGGGGCAAGAGAGAGGAAGGGTAGGTAGTTAATGAAGTGAGTTTGGTAACTTTAGTGAGAAAACCCGCTTGGCCTGTGTAATCCTTTGTGAAACTCAACAAAATTGCCACTTAGCCAAAAAAAAAGTAAGATTCAGCCCAAAGTGGGTTTTTTTTCCCATAACAGCAAAAGTAATTATCAAAAACGCACCAATAATTCCGGAACCATGAGTAAATGTTATAGTAGCTACTGAAATAGGCAGTCGCTTTGAATTTCTGTGGAAATGCAGTAATGTCTTTACGAAATGCCTAGAGCATGGCCTTGTCATAACAAATACTTTACTGCATCAGCAAGACAATTATATGTTGTTTGGTTGATAGAAACAGTGGGCTTGCCATTGGTCAACAGTACTCAAGTCAGGAAGGTGCCCCATCTAGCACCTTTAATATTCAGTCCATGTACCACTGATGCACTGTGGCAGCAGTTGTACCAACTACAAAATTCATTGCAATACCTCACCAGGACTACTGAGACAGCATTGTCCAAATCTGCAATCAACTTTTGATCTCTCACTTTCTCACTGAAGCTCCCACTGTGGAAACTGACCTTCTGGGTGTTGTACACTCCCTCGCTCAATTTTTAGTGACCCTCATTAAGCCCACTATGAACCACCCGTCCCACACAGAGAACCTCTCACCAGACTTCTTTCTAGATGCAACAAAATTTCCCATTGAAGAAAAGCACCTCTTCCACAGTCCAAATGTATCAGGAAGATCATCTAGCCAGCTGCACACAACATTAAACCATTATGAATCTGAAGGCATGTTACTTCTTTTCTATGCATTTAATCTCAAAATTTACAATTTACTCCTGTGAATGTTTTTAATGAATATGCACGACATGTCAATTCATTAAAAATACATTTCAAGCACTTGCTGATCTGTCTGCTATCTGCCCCCAACTTAATCCACAGTTATAATCATGCCATTGGGAAACTGACATTTACGCTCCTCACTATTAAAATCCCTGCCTGCCTGGTTTCCCATCCCCCAGTGCAGAGTTTGATCCTGACCACACCACCTGATCTAACAAAAGAAAAGTCAAGCATTTTATGCCAGTTGGAAAAGGACAAGGAAATTTCAAGTCAGTGCTCAGCAAGCATCAAAATGCTCCACAGGTGCCTTACGTAGACAAATTATCAAAGTCAGAGAAAAAAAATCAAAGCAAATTACTGTAGATGCTGAAGATGTGAAAGAAAACAAAGTGCTGGAGAAACTCGGCCTGTCTGGCAGCAGCTGTGAAGAGAGAAAGTCAGTGAATGATTTGGGTCTCATGACTCTCCTTTAAAATGCTAATTCTGTTTCTTTCTCCAAAGATGTTACCAGACCTGCTGAGCTTCTCCAGCGTATTCTGCTTTCATTTCATAAAAAAGACTATTGTTTTGAGTCACTTGCTGCAGGGAATCCTAACTTTGATGAGAGGAACCCGACAACGAGAAGAGTTTTGATGAAGAGTCATTGAGTTAAAATGTTAGTTATATTGTTCTCTTTCTGCTGCCACACCTGCTGAATATTTCAACCAAATTCTCCCTCTATTTCAGATTTCCACCTTCTGCAGAATTTTGGCCTCAAATGAGATGATGATTTCTGGGACTACAGGTGCAACTTGGAGGAAAAAGGTGAAGGAAATCAGCTGCATTTTGTTTGAAACAACAGGGGCTAAAGTATATTGATTAAAACTCCTCGGGATTTTAAAAAAAGGCTCAGCGTCTGTGCCAATCTAATGTAAGAAATAAAAGGGGATTTGTGCACAGAAGCACAAAGGAAGACTAGTGGTGTTTGTACAATGTGCCTCACGATAGTGTAACAATGTAATTCGTACCAAGAAGATAGCAACATCTGGATTTTCATCTTCTCATAATGTCTGTTGTTGGAATTGCATGATCTTCAAAATATTGTTTTTTTTCCTACCTTATACGCATAAATGTATATCTGTAAATGATCACTGGCCTTTTATAAATTAAGACATGGATTAACTTCAATAAAATTTTACAACTCATTGGCACATCTCAATTCCAAGAACACGTATACATACCTGGTCAAGATTGGATAAACTGTTCGGGTCCTGACTGAGACCTTGATACTGCCCTCGGAGTCGATCACCAGCGGCAATCTTTCGGAATTTCTTTAAGTCCACCACATACAAGGCACTGAATGGAGAGAATTTTTAAAAAATGTTTTTGTAAAAACATTAAAGTCATAAAATTGCTGAAGTGATGATAGTAAATAAATATTAGTGTGCCACTGCTGCATTTTAATAATACTACAAAGAGACTCAACTACTCACCGTAATTACAAAAAGGCACGTCGATAAGCTCCTGCTTCAACCTTTAGAAATGGCTTTCTACTATCAATTCACCTAAAAAACTGTGGTCACCAAAAAGCAAAAATGCTGCAAATGTTCTGAACATATTTTTGGATGCATGCTTGGCCATCGAGCTCCCTATACCTATTATTGACGTCTAGCCTCTTACAAAACAGTCTGCACAGCGGGAATTTGTTCAGGTAAGGAGGGCACTAAGCAGTGTGCCTGCCAAATTTTGATACATGGTCAAAGCTGAGAATGAGAATTCACCAAGTCACTGTTGAGGATTCCTCTGGATCAATCTCTGATGCTCATAATGAAAGCTTCATGATTGGTTCCAAATTTCACTATAAATAACAACTGTTTTGTATACAGATAAAACTGTTCCATACACTTAGTCATCTAGCTCAGTTTTTAAATTGTACATTATTTATTTATTAAAATAATTGGTTCGGCTTATGTACAGAGCAATTCAAATTAAATATCACAAGACATCAATTCAAACATAGTGAATCAATGAGGCCTGCTATTAATTAGACTTGCAATGCACATTTAAGTATCTAAATCTTTAGTCTGGCATGTGGCTGAATATCTGAATTGCTAAAGCTGCAGTGAGGAAAGTGGGTCGAGAGCCTGAGTGAGCAGAGCAATCAAATACCTCCTGCCTTCACTAGACTGAGGATTGTGGAATTAACAATGCAACAACCAAGAAAGATATGTAACTTAGGGCAGAATTTTACAGCTACTGCTGGAGCATTTTCAGGCTGTGGGGGCCTACCACTTTCCCGCAACCCTATCACTTCTCTGCAATTTTACCAAGGGCGGGCAAAGATTAGTGCGGCCTGTCCAATCTTGTCCCAATTGAGGGCATTAAATTATAAACCACTGAAGAGCACTTCCCACTGAGCCTCAACTTTGAGGTGGCAAGAGGAGTTCAGGGTAAAGAGGACATTCAGCAGGTGACTCTGCTCATTCCTTGGGCAAAAATGAGAAGATACCTTCCTCAAGGGCTTCCTTTCCACACTGAGCACCACTCATCCTCATTCATCTGCTTCTTCCTTGCAGTGAAATCTCTGCACTTACTCAAGCTCTCAATTTAGGGAATTATCATAAAGGCCCTTTGGCCTACTGAGTCTGCACCAACAAAAAGCTACACTAAATTTACACTGGCCTCACCTTCCAGCAATTAGCCCACAGCCTTGAATGTTACATTTCAAATGCTCATCCAAGTACTTTTTAAATGTTGTGAGGTTTCCGGCCTCAACTACCCTCCCAGGCAGTGCATTCCAGATTTTTCACTCAAAGGCTGGTGGGAAAGGTTCACCTCAAATCTTTGAAACCTCCCACCTTTCACTTTAAAATTATGTACCTTTGTTACTAACCCTTCAACGAAGGGGAATACCTGCTTTCGATCCACACTGTTCATGCCTCTCATAATCTGATCTACCTGAATCAGGTCCCCTCTCAACCTTTTCTACTCTAAAGAAAACAACCCGAGCTTGTCCAACCACTCTTCATAGAGAAACTGCTCTATCCCAGGCAAAATCCTGGTGTATGTCCTCTGGACCCCCTCCACTGCATCACATACTCCCTTTCACATGAAGACCAATACAACCTACCTGTTCTTATAAACTATATAAAGACTGGTAAAGGCAAGTATCCCATACATTTTCTTAACTACCCTATGAATCTGACCTACCTCCTTCAGAGATCTGTGGCCAAGTACCCCAAAATTCCTCTTTTACTCTGAAATTCCTGATGTGCTACCATTCATTGAGTACTCCCTTGTCTTGTTCCTTCTTCCAAAGTGCATCACCTCATACTTACCATGTTTAAATTCCATCTGTCAGCTCACCAATCAGTCTATATCATCCTGTACCTTAAGACCCTCGTCCTTACTAACAATACCCAGCCAGTCTGTGTCATTTGCAAACTTAACAACCAACTCCTCCATATTTCCTTCTATATAGTTTCTTAATATAAAATATATAAACAATAAAAGGACCCAGCAGTAATCCCTGTGGTATGCCACTGGACACCAGCTTCCACTCACATGAACAGCCTTCTATCACCACCCTCTATCTCCTCCCACGAAGCCAATTTTGGGTCCAACTTGCCAAGTTACTCTGGATTCCAAGTGCTTTTACCTTCTTTATCATTCTTCCACGTGGGACCTTGTCAAAGGGTTCACTGAAATCAGTATAAACTACATCAACTACACTACTCTCATTTACACATCTGGTCAATTTACTTGTGTACACCCTACCGTTGTCCTCTGGCCCCACACACAGACTGTCCCTTGGTCCATAAAGAGTCCTATTCTTTCCCTGGATATGCTCTTCACCATGATATACTTAACGAATATCTCAGAATTCTCCCAAATCTTAGTGTTTTAAACATGATCTTCTTTGCTCTCCTAATTGCTTTCTTAATTTCTCCCTGCCCTTTCTATACTCCACTGGGGCCTCCGTTGATTTGCTCCCTTTCTACCTGTTAAAAAGCTCCCTTTTCCTTTTTATCTAGTCCTGAATATGCCTAGACATCAAGGGGTCAATAAACTTGTTCCGCTTACAATACACCCTAAAGGGTACACATTGGGCCTGTACTCAATCCAAATTTATATGCCTCCCCACTGTTCTGCTGTAATTTATCCAGAAATAGCCGTTCCATGTCTACTTTGATCAGATTCTGCTTACTTTCAGAAAATCTGCCTTCCATAATTCAATGTTTTTTTGCAGACCATATTTTTCCTTTTCCATGAAAACTTAAAATGTACAGTGGTCACCAAAATGCTCTCCCATTGCTACCTTGAATATGTGCTTGGCTTTATTCTCTAGAATTAGGTCCAGCATCATATCATCCCTTGTTGGGTCTCCTACACATTGATATGAAAAGCTCTCCTGAATATATTTTAAGAATCTGCCTTCTCTAAACTCTTTACACTCTGACTATCCCAATTAGTGTTGACAAAGTTGAAATCTCCTAATATAATTACCCTATTATTGTTTATGCACACCTCAGTGAAGTGACTATATAGTTGCTGATCTATTGCCTACTGAATGTTTGCGGGGCTGTTTGCAGGCCTATATTACACTCCTAGTGGTGTGACTGCCCCCTTTTTATGTCAATGTGCCACCCACAAAGCCTCAATTGAAAATCCTTGTGCCTTGATTAGTAATGTACATCACCTCCTCTTTTACACCCTTCCCTGTCCTGCCTGAAGATCCTATACCTTGGAATATTGAGAGATAGTAGGAACTGCCGATGCTGGAATCTGAGATAACAAGATGAACACAGCAGGCCAGGCAGCATCAAAGGAGCAGAAAAGCTGATATTTCGGGTCTGGACCCTTCTTCTGAAGAAGAGTCCAGACCTGAAACGTCAGCTTTCCTGCTCCTCTGATGCTGCCTGGCCTGCTGTGTTCATCCAGCTCTACACCTTGGAATATTGAGTTGCCATTCCTACCCCTCCCTTAACCATGTCTCTGTGATGGTACCAATATTACAAGTTCATGTGTCAATCCACATCCTTAATCCATCTGTCTTACTCATCTGAATTAGAATCTGGGCACTGCTTGTCGTCTCAATTCAATCCTGGTCAATACTGCCACAAGTGTTACTGGACTACAGAAAATCTCTACTGTACATGTTCTTATTCGCACTGAATACCATCATGTCTCTGATCATTGATTGGTATTGGCTTCCATTTAAGCAAATGGCTTAATTTTAACATTTTTATCTTTGTTTTCAAATCCCTTCATGGTTGTAGCCTTCTTTCTCTGTAATCTTCATCAGCCCTGCAATCCTCTGAAATATCTCTGTGTATTTCAAGTGTGGCCTCTTGAATATCCCTGAGTTCACTGATGTCCTTTCGCCTGCTCAGAATCTAAGATCTGAAATTCCCTTGCTAAGTGTTTCCTTCCTATCTCCTTCTGTTAAATTTTGTTTGATAATGTACTTTAAGATGCTTTACTGTGTTATGTGTGCTGTATGAATCCAAGTTACTATTGTGTGGCCAGCAGCTTTCTGAGGCAGGTCCTCTGCCTGAGTGAGTGGCAGATATCTTGTCTCCAATCAATTAATGGGTCCTGATATGACTGGAGGAGGATGTGTTCCTCACCACCTCTTCAGGTGGCGGGACAAAAAATACAGCTATCCAAAAGATCTTGTCCTTGGAGGGGGAGAATTCAATGTCAAGTCAGGTACACAAAGAAGAAATGGCAGGAGGATTGAGATAGAAAGCGAGAGAAAGACAGACAATTTTTAAAGATATACTTTTACAACATTAAAATGTCCAACAGGTGGGACTTGAAATAATGAAACACCATAATTTTCAGTATGGGGACATTAACTAAGGGTTATTACTACTCATCAAGTTTCTTGGAGAGTAATTACACCAAATTGAATCAGACTTGCCGTCATATGGAAAGTCCAGTTTGAATATTGCATATGAGTATAGTAAATTCAGACCTTTCATCGCATTTCAACAGAGGCAGAGAGAGTTGTCACTTTTGTATCACTGATCATTATTGCAGTTTATGCAAATAAACAATGGATGTGCCGTTTTGTTTGACTCCAAGTTATCAAAATAATTCTATCGGCTTTTCAAGGTAGCATTTATTACAAGAAAAACATGCAAAATGTAGATGGCTATTTTTCAGAACTGTATTTATTTGTCATTCCAATAACTAACTATCCGTGTGACTGAAAATGGGAAAAAATGACAGGTGAAGACTGATTTAGAGAAAAGCATTGCTGCCCTTTGGCACATGGTGGCAGTGCAGCCCTTTGTTAAAAAGTACTTTGAAAACTGAGTCACATTTTATGTTATGTGATCAATTTCCACCTAAGGACTTGAAGTAATCAAAGTCAACACTTCAGTGCAATAATGAGGACTGGTACATGGTCTGAGCTGCTGTCTTTTGAATAAGGTATTAAAATTGAAGCTAAGTCTTGTAGTTCAGGTGGATGTAAAGGTCATCCAACATAAGCAAAGTCAATTGACTTGCCATTTAGCTCATTTAATCTTTCTGGAACTTTGGGTTCTAGCTGACATATCTGCTTACAGAACAAAACGGACTCCACTTCAAATGTAATTTACTGGCTGTGAAGTGCTTCGGTACGCTCTCGGAATACAAATAGCATCGTGTAAATGTCCATGGCACATGATGGGAGTGTGCACTGGTGGTATCAGGTTATATTTTGAAAACATTATCTTTCAAGTTTAGCCAAGCAGCAAAAGATTTTCCAACAGCAAGCGATTACAGAAAGCTTCATTTTATTTAATCTCAAAATGAGGAAAAGAACAAAGCAAATCAAATGATTCTGCACAGTCACCATTCCAAGACACTACTTTATGCGCCCTTCTTCCCCAGACTGAATGAGGAATTCCAAATTTGTCCTTTGCAGCGTTTTGGCTTTAAACTGCGTATTATAGAAATGTGCATTTGTGGTAGAGAGGACAGGTGGACTCCACTTAGGAAGCAGTAGGCAATAGTCAATTTTGATATTTTTGATATAACAGCATCTGCTACTTATTGTTTGTTTACAAATTTGTGCTTGGTAAATTATGGAAAGTGCAAGCTAATAATGTTACGACAAAAGAAAACAAGCAACTTGGGAACTAGGTGAACAGAGCAACTGTGGACCTCCTTATTAAATCAGGTTGAACGACTTCAGCAAAAAAAAAGAAGAAATAGGAGTGAATTGAGGATGAGTGAATTCAATGGCAAATCAGAAAAAGAAAGATAAAGAAATGAAGGAAAGGTTGAATTCAGTGAGAAAGCAGAAACATAAACACTTTTTTTTAAAAAGCTGTAGCAATTAAAACCTGAAGAGGGAGACTTCACACTTGCACCAATTCATTTTCAGTGTTCAGGAGGTTGTATGGAGTAATTTAGTATATAGTAAATTGATAAAAGGGTACTTAAGAATACAATGGACAAGACAACTTCCTGCGAGGAGTTTGGTTTCTATTTACCACACAATAGTAACTTGGATTCATACAGCACACATAACACAGTAAAGCATCTTAAAGTACATTATCAAACAAAATTTAACAGAAGGAGATAGGAAGGAAACACTTAGCAAGCGAATTTCAGATCTTAGATTCTGAGCAGGCGAAAGGACATCAGTGAACTCAGGGATATTCAAGAGGCCACACTTGAAATACACAGAGATATTTCAGAGGATTGCAGGGCTGATGAAGATTACAGAGAAAGAAGGCTACAACCATGAAGGGATTTGAAAACAAAGATAAAAATGTTAAAATTAAGCCATTTGCTTAAATGGAAGCCAATACCAATCAATGATCAGAGACATGATGGTATTCAGTGCGAATAAGAACATGTACAGTAGAGATTTAGATGACCTTCAAGTTTACAAGGAGTAGAACGTGAGACACCAGACAGGAGTTCCGAGTAATAACAAAGTTTAGGAGTACTAAAAGCATAGAAGAAGACTCCAAAATCGGATAAGCTGGAGAAGGATGGAAGTGGACAATTTTACATGGTAGAAATAAGTAGTCTTAATGATGGCATGACATGTGGTCAGAAGCTCAACTAAGGATCAAATGTGATAGCAGAACAGTTGGGTTTAGCCTTGGGAAGATCACTGTGGGGAGCTGAAGTCAGTGCACAGGGACCAGAACTTTTGGCAGAAGCCAAGAATAATAGCTTCAGGATTCCCAATTTTAAACTGAAGGAAAGTTTTGCTCATCTAACACAGTCCGATAATACAGAGAGAGTGAAAGGATTAAGAGTGGTGGTGAAGAAGTAGAGCTGGGTATCAGCAACATCAATATGGAAAGTGATGCTCTGTAAATGATATTGCTGAAGGACAGAAAGTACATGAGAAACAGGAGTGGCCAAGGATCGATGTGTGGGAAACACATGAAGTCATGCTGCAGAAGTGTTGTCAGCTGTGTCAATGGATGCAGATAGGTAAAGAAGAGAAGAAAAAGATCTTTGTCATGGTCACGCAGAATGTCACTTGTGATATTGGTAAAAGCCATTTTGTGGCAGGGGTAGTGTGGAGTGGTTTAAACATTAAGTTCTGAACATTACAAGGACAAATTTGGCAAAACCTTGGAGAAGAAAGGGAAGTTGGAGATGGAGCATAGTTGCAGAGGCGGAAGGTCATGGAGATTGGTATCTGAGAAAAGGGTGCTTTACTTTTTGCCTCAGCTGCATTCAGAACCAGCACTCATGGCCGTGTGGGAGTTGTTAAGAAGCCTGTTAGGTGCTGAGTGGTTTTAACAGTTTCCTGTATGCTCTGAAAAATTACATTTATTGAATCCCAAAAAAAGATCCGTGGCAGGTTTTGGTCAGAATGATCAATGTGGTGCTTTTAGAATATTGTTAACGATAACTTTGGCTATCAATCGCAGGCTCCATTATATTGGCACCAAAATTTATCACTCCACAAGTACTAAGATTCTGCATGAGTGTGGGTGTCACAAGTTGCTATCAAAGCTTGCGCCTCTCATAACTGCCCTACTAAAACACAACTTTGGTTGCATCAAGGCACAAGCTTGCTAATCTTCACAGATTGGCATTGAGGCAGTGAGTATAGGAGTTGGGACATTATGTTACAGTTGTATAAGTCGTTGGTGAGGCTGCACTTCAAGTTTTGTGCACAGTTTTGGTCACCTTGTTTGTAGGAAAGACATACTTAAACTGGAAAGTGAGCAAAGAAGATTTATGAGGATGTTGCCAGGACTATCAGGTCTGACTTATAGGGAGAGGTTAGCCAGGATAGGACTTTATTCCTTGGAACATAAGAGAATGAGAGGTGATCTTATTGAGGGACATAGATAGAATGAATGTATATAGTCTTTTTCTCAGGGATGGGGAATTGAAAACAAGAGGGCATAGGTCTAAAGTGAGAGGGCAAAGATTTAAGAAGGACCTGAGGGGCAACTTCTTCACACAGAGAGTCATGCATGTATGGAATGGGCTGCCAGAGAAAGTGGTTGACGCAGGTACAATAGCAACATTTAAAAAACATTTGGTTGGGTACATGGATGGGAAGGGTTTCGAGGGATATGGACCAAATGTGGGCAATTGGAACCAGCTGAGTGGGCACCATGGTCAGCACAGACCAGTTTGGGCCAAAGGGCCTGTTTCAATGCTGTATTACTCTATGACTCTATATGCATGATGCACACGTCTGTTTTCATAAACTGGTCTCAAAAAGAAAACAAAGAGAATGTTGACATATCAGAAAGGAAATGTAAAGATAAAGAAATGAAGCTAAAACAAATATTGAAAATACACTCAGCAGGTAAGGTAGAGTGAGATTCCAGCCTCTGCAATATTTTGATTTTGTAAAACACGTCACCGATACATCTAAGGGTGTGTCAAAGCACTTTACAAGAATAAAATAAAAACAGAACAAAATGGGACATTGATACCAAAGGAGTTTAGTTTGTACTATAAAAAGATCTAAAAGGTAGACATAGTAATCACTTTGATGTATCATAAATTATTACAGCTATACCTTATGTGGTACTTCCTGCCCTGTAGGTGATTAGCCCAGTAACCTGACTTCCAGAAGCGATATCCATCCATTTCCTTACGACTTTCACAGAAAGGAGTATACCCATAGGGAGCTCCTTCAAGGTCCAGGTCACGCAGCTCCTTCAAGTCAGCTCGCACTATCTGTGAGAAAAGTAAAACTGATGAGGCAAACGTGTTACACTTTTCTTGATTCTTGGCAGGAGTTGTAATATATTTTACAACTTTGTGATTCACTAAAGATTGAACTTTGTGACTGGAGCTGCAGCAACTTCATGATTCTAAAAATATAACTAAGTTAAGCTGTTAAATATCACAGTTAAATATCAAACAAATTGAAGAAACAGTCATGGAGAACTTGCAAACATGATTTCAAATTAATTTTTAAGGTTTTAGGAATCAGGATGAACACAGAAGAAATTAACAGGGATTTCAATTTATGCAGCATGAGAAAAGGATGTGGACTGTTTGAGCCACTGTTGGCATGGAGATCTGTTAGGAACAATTTACTGACTGGTGAGGGTATTGCCATGGGAAAACAGCAGAGGTTGGCAATCTCTGCGACCCCTTTTTCTTTTCAATGGAAAAGGTCTGTTGTATCGAAGAATTTCTTTTGCCTACTCAAAACAAAAGGTGTGTATGTTAACACATACAGCTTTTAGCGCACACAATGCATCACACTATGGAGCCTGACTGATATTCTTAAATTAGTTTAATTCTGAGCACTTCAACAGCAAAATTATAGAGGACATACTTTTCTGAGGCACGCAAGCACCAGCTGGTTGACCATAATCGGCATGTTGCCTGTGAATGGGTAATAGGATCTGATGTTTGACACAGTCTGCCAGTCCCTTGGGATTTTTGATCGATATAATCAACATCAAACTGGCACTATCGTGTTATTCATATGTGTGGTCGGCAAAACATCTTTTTGGCTTGACAGCAAAGCCTGTTAGTGGAAATAACTCATGGGTTTACTGCAAATTTGCCCCATGAGACAGAGGGCTTCAGCTGTTCAAATGTTTGAGCTACCTTTCCCTTGTCGGGTAATCAGAGGTTGATGGTGCACCACTCAAGGCCAGAAGTGTTGGGTATAGGTCCTTTCATCAGTTTCTGTGATAAATAGCTAGTGATGTAGCTATTATCATGCAAGACATTTTAGATATACTGTATTCTAGCATCATGCTTACATGGTGAGCAAATGGCTAGGACCTTATTCATGAGGTTGCCAATTAAGATCAATACTGTAGTGCATAGAACTATAGAAATCTCAACATACATATTGACTTGTGAACACAAGCTTTCAGTAGATAGTAGTTGAACCCACTGGCAGACTTCTCAATTTGTGCATCAAGAAAAGGAGTTCATTTGATTACTCCATTTCAATGGAAAACTTGAGCACAGGATATGGCTGCAGATTCAAATATCGCAAATGAGTCATCTGCGTATCAAACAAATGGGAGGTGATGCATTTTGAAAGATCAAATTCAGGTGTTCATTATACAATAAATGGCAGAACCCTTAGGAGCATTGACATACAGAGACATTTGGGTGTACAGGTCCACAGATCCCTGAAAGTGGCAACCCAGGTGGATAAGATGGTCAAGAAGGCATACAGCACGCTTATCTTCATCGGCCAGGTCATCGAATATAAAAGTTGGCAAATCATGTTACAGCTGTTTAAAACTTTAGTTAAGCCACAGTTTAAATTCTTTCTACAGATCTGGTCACCACACTACCAGAAGGACATGGATGCTTTGGAGAGGGTGAAGAGGAGAGATACCAGGACGTTGCCTGGTATGAAAGGTTTTAGGTATGAAGAGAGGTTGGATAAGCTTGGACTGTTTTCACTGGAAAGTCGGAGGCTGAGCGACGACCTGATAGAGATCTATAAAATTATGAGAGGCATTGATAGGACAGTCAGAGGCATTTTCCCAGGATGGAAAGGTCAACTACTAGAGGACACACATTTAAGATGAGGTGGGGGGGCGAAGTTTAGGGGAGAAGTGCAGGGAAAATTTTTCACACAGAAGGTGATGGGTGCCAGGAAAGCACTACCAGTGTAAGTGGTGGAAGCAGGCATGTGAGCAACATTTAAAACCTATCTTGATAAGCACATGAACAGCAGGCAAACAGAGGAACAGAAACCACATACAGGCAATAAGTAGCGGGTCTAAATAAGGACTAGGAATTGGCACAGACTTGGTGGGCCGAAGGGCCTGTTCCTGCGCTATATTGTACCATATATTCCATCTACATTTTCCATTAAATCATCATTTTCTGTTTCTCACATAAACTTTATAACTTCACATATATCCAAGTAACACTGCATCTGCCAACATATGCCCAACTTGTCTAGACACGAATAATGGCCCAATCAGTACTCTCTTTTCATACCCTATAAATTGGCATCCCTTTTCTGTTGTTCTTGTACCAGACCTGATCCGTGAAAGGCCAAAGTATCAACTTCTTATCTCCTTTTGGCAATATTTAAGGAGCAAAGCTTTAAGTCCTTACCCACAGGTCCACTTCTCCTCAGCCTGATTGTTTCAGCTACTCTATCCATCTATTGTAGCTACCTCTCCAAATGAAAAGTTACATGGGTTTTAATTAACTGCATACACCAAAGTACCAGCAATTCTACTGGAAGGTTTAAGCACCAAGCTCTGCATTGTAATGGACTGCATCAGTACGGTTACAAATGCCAAGAAATTTGGACAAATGTAAGACTTATTATCCCATAATAGAATGAGGGCTTTTTAATTGTATCTTACATTCATGCATTTAAAAAACTAGACACAGAAAGGGCATAAATCTGACTGAAGACTTGATTTGTCCACAGAAGTGGTCTCCATTTTCATTCGTTTAAGGTAACTTAACATGAGTCAACTGATGCTCCTTTGGCTAAGCTACTGCACAGTACAGATTAGAAAGATTTACATTTTGGTATCAGGCTGTTATGAGTGAGCTGTCTTTAAATGAGGCACCTAACTGGTCTCAGCACCCCTAGGTAAAAGAGGAGTATAACACCCCACAACCTTGCCTCGGATCACAATCCAATCATCTGTGCTGGAAGCCAGCACTGTGCCAGTTATGCACAACATTGTATTCCTTCTTGCTGTTTTGAAATGAACGGTTAAGTAGGGTGCCTGCATTACATATCCAGACCCATACATTATAACGGAAAAGTTTACAGTTGATACCAGAGATTGCATGGTTCGAGTGCAAATATGGAGGAAAGTGAAAAACCTGGTAGAGAAAGGAGAAGGAAAAACAATCTGTTCAATGCTGCAGCTTTTCCAGTGTCTAGGGCACATTTGACATGTATCTGGGGGAAGGACATTGATGTCCAAGCGCTAGCTCTTCATTAGGCTCTTTCATAAAGCTTTTTAAATGTCTTCAATGCCACTATTTTGACTAAAAGTGCAGAAATCTTCACTAAAATTGCCACACCATCACATTCAGCAAAAAGAAATGCGTACCTTATCCCTACGGCTGTTACTTTTTTTCTTGCAAATAGAAAGCAATTTCTGACCCAGATTTTGTTGTAGCAGGGCATCTAATGGCGTACACAAACCACTAATGCAGTGGGTACGCGAGATTTTTGGGATTTGAAAGGAGTTATTCATGTTAATACATAATGACTGCTGGAAAATGCATGAATAGGGACAGATGACAGGATCTCAAATTTTTTTAAATTGTTACGAGTCCTTTGGTTAGAACTAAACAGCCCAATAATAATCAGTATTCTATCTTACAAACTTCACAGTCTAGACAGCTGTCATCACATTACATCTGTAACTTGTAATTTGAGAAAGTATATCTTGAAAAATTTACCTGATCAGCATCCACAAATAGGATCTTGTCAACAGCCAGTGGGAAAAGTACATCCAGGAAAAGGATCTTGTAGCCCCAGATTATTCTTTGCTTTTCAGTCTGTTGATGGAGCCACCTGGGCCATTTGTACTGCACCAGCTCATACTGAAAACCATACTTCTTTGCCATGTGTGGAATAAATTCCTACCAGAACACCAAAATGAACATCAGTAACTCTCAGAAAATGCTACAAATTGTGCTAATAATTAATTTGACACAAACACATCAGTTCTGTCACAAGATAATTTAACATTTTCCACAGAGGGTGAAACAATCTGTAAATTCTTCATGTAGAGGTGTGCTGGCAATTTGTTTAAAATGCAGCCTGCACTTTGATCAGACCTAGAATTTGTGATATTGCAATGCATTAAGAGGGGGGAAATTGGACAATACTACAAAGTTAAGAAATATTGCAGAGTCAAATGCAATAATAGCATTCTTTTGGAATATCTCTTGGCCAAATGCTGAAGGATATTCAGAATGGAGAAGGAAATCTTCCCATAATAGGAGTGGAGCATCATTGCTAAGCACTTGAGAACTGAATAAGTCTTAGTTTAGCATTAACGCATTCGCTTTAATGAAGAATACTGGTGGTGAACATTTGGACAACTGTTTTCTAACGGAAGAGGAGAAGGCATGTTCTTACATCAGATATAATACAAACGTATGAACAGAATGAATGCAATACATAATTTAGATACGCTTAACAAAATCAACTTAGTACCTACTACGGACAATTTGCACCCACAAATATTAAAATGAAGTAGGAACAGAAATTAATTGCATTTTACTTTTTTTTTTTAAAAAGAGTTTCCAAAATTTGGCGCAGATTCCTAACGTCAGGAAGTGATAAACACAATTCTATGATTTAAAGAAGAGTGTGTGGGGTGAAAAAGACAAACCTTGACTACTCTGTACCCATACACATACTCAAATGGATTATAAAATCTTCCCTCTTTCTAACCATGCTTTAATTTGATGATTTTGTTTTCTCTACAAACCTTGAATGTGGGTGAGAGGTAGTTCTTAAGGAACCAGAATTTCACTGGTGTTTCAGTATGTTTCAGCACTGACAGCATCATTATTCTGCAGGGCAGAGGGAAGGCAAGAGAATTTATCATGCATATCTAAGAAGGAACTGCTTACCAAAATACACAGGTGTCAAATACAGTACACATTGCTACCCATTAGTTCTAAATGAGGCCCAAGTAGAAAACATAAATCAGGCTATGAATATGGATATATGAGAGGCGCATGTGTCAAACCTCACCAACTCCAAAATGATAACAGATGAAACTGATTGACAAAATTGCCAGCTGCTATTTCCTTCCTTCCCAGATGCTTTGACATTTGAAATTTACAATATTTAAATCAACATATCCTCATACGGACATGTCTGTGCACCAGAATGTCTCATTAAAGTATATTAACAAATTTGGGAATTATTTACCTTTTTTCTCAGAATCTTTAAATTGCAATAACTATACGGTTGACCTAATTAACACCCAAACTAACATACTGATGTATCCCTAATCAAATTTCAAAATACACTTTTCCAGCAACACAAGCTTGTTTGTTCCAGAGTTCAGACATGTGGCTTCCATAACACTTCACTAGAGTCAAATCATGCTTTGTAGGTCCTCAACATGTCTTGATTCCCTTACCCAAGATACTGGCAATGAAATGTGAACCTCGAATAGATATGAAACTCATAGTGAACTACAGTTACTTTGGTTGGAATTAAAATTAAGCTAAAACTCATCCAACCTTCCCCCTCTAACACAGCTCCTCATCATAAACTTTATCCTTCAGTTATGAGGCTGGTGCACTTGACAATAAGCACAACTCTGTCCAATCATGACTTTGCACCCACACTTCCAAGCAGTGGCTTGAAAGGTGGCTATGTAGTGTTCTGTATCAGGAACGTTATCAGGAGCAATTTACAACATCTGCACCACATCGGGACTACAACCAGGGAACGTAACTAAGACCAGGTGTTGAACCTGAAAGTTTACTGATCCCTATGGGCTAGTCCATATTGTGCGCTGAATGTTACATCAGGGCTGCCTCCGTGTTTTCTTTCGAATACAAACTGCTAGGTCCTTAATAAACTGAGATACATAATGCAGCCCGAGTTTCTAAAACTTAATTTGTACGATCACACCAAACTAAACTCTTAAAGCTGTACTTCAGGCACATATAGTTTTCTTTCCTACAATCCTGTTTCCACACAAATGAACTTTGTAAAAGCTTTATCCACATACATTTGAAAAAAAAATTGTGACATTGATCTGAACCCTATTCTGAGATCTGAGGACAGATAAAATACCTGCAAGTCAAAAATTTAAAAAAAAATCAGAAAGAGACAGTCAACTGACCTCAAGAATCTCTCGTAAAGATGACCTGATGCAACTGAAAAGATATTAATGACATCTTCCTTATCCGATCTCAGTTCTTCAGGTTTTGGTCCTCCAGTGAATCCTCTGTGAAAAAGAGATAACTGCTAATTACTTCCACTTTTTTAAAAAAATCTAGTAAGGCTGGAGACTGGAGCTGACACTAACATAGACAATTAAAGGTACTGGCATTTCAACTCCGGGATCTTGGGCTCAAATGCACGGGATAGAACAGCCGTTCTGGTCGTTAGTGCTAAGGGTCTAAGAAACGTTAGGATGTGCAGCATTAAATTATCCCAAATTCAACAGGCACTCTGTATTAAATAGAGAAAATGTCACACTTGTGTGTAGTAAGTGGGTTCCTTTGGGGTCCAACTTTGTTCACAGTGAAAAGAGTAAACGAAACTTCACCCAGCACCGAGGTGTTCTATAATTGACTTAGGAATGCCTGATGTTAATGCCGGGTTAAGAAATGCGAAAATGTCACAGGCGCAGATGTAGAAACCCAGTGGAGGTGCAAAAGGTATAACTTTTTCCGCGACTGGAACCAAGTAGAGGGAGTTTAACATTGCATCCAATGGTTTTACCTCTACTTGTAGAGACTTTGATGATGACAGTAATGCCTGAATTAAATGCTTATTCCAATTCCCCCATATTAATATTCCTTAAATTAATAAACAAAGTGCCAAAATAAAATTTTGTGGGGAAAAGTCTTTCAACCTTAATACCCTCATTACTGAAATTATATTACTTGGACTGAATAATCTCTTTCCCATCTAAACTTGCATTCTCTACATCACGCTGAACCAGAAATGGATCAAATCTAATCCCCACTTGACTGGATGAGTCCTGCTCCACAATACTCAAAAGAAGCTTGACACCATCCAGGTCAAAGCAGCCCACTTGATTGGCACTACATCCACGAACATTCACTCCCTCCACCACTAATGCTCAGTAGCAGCAGTGTGTGCTACCTACAAGATATATTGCAGAAAGTCGTAAAAGGCACCTTATACAGTATCTCCCAAAACCAAAACCACTACCATTCGGAAGGACATAAGTAGCAGATACATGGTAGTACCATCACCAACTGCAAACTGCCTTCCAACCTCTCACCATCCTGACTTGGAAGCGTATCAGTGCCTTGACAGCAAACTGTCACTGTTGCAGTACCGCAGTGTTACCATTGTCCCCTAGATGCAGCAATGGAATGCAGAAGTGTACCGTAAGTAGACTGGACATGTCCAAGAGTCTTCTTAGAGGCCAGCACATCAGATACTGATGTCTGTGGATGCGAATGTGAAAGCCTATGGAGCATGCCTGCATGTTAGTGCCTGCTATCCAAAACTGAAGTCTATTGGAGTAAGCAGTGAGCTGATGCCACTAGGTACCCGTTCTGACGTTCATGTTGAGAAATCTCAGCATTTGTTTGTTCACAGCAGATGGCAGGATAGGGAGGTATATATTAATGAGGTAAAATGTACAGTTAATAAAGGTTGTTAGCTGAATTCCCCTGAATAGGAAACTTGCCAGTGCCTAGTGAGAATAATTGTCTCAATGCCTGTAACTTCGTTAAACAGAAAGTTGCTCCCAACGTCAAAAGAGTCCTCACTGGACTCCTTATGGGATTCTGACACATTTCTCACTATAGCCCATGTCACTCAGGTACCTATTAGATTTCACCGTTTGTATCTAATCTTTGAATGCAGCCTTTACTCATTCCCACTTGCACTTCATGTAACTGTACCTTTGTGTGTCATGGAAGAAAATGGAAACAATGCATGCTGCACTTTTGAATTTCCAGTTAGTCACTTCAGTGTACACAATTTAATCCACATTTGTCATCATTATTTACAATCTCGAGATTCAAAGGTGTTAAGTTACCTCTTAATGGATTCCCAGAAACCTTCATTTTCAGAATTATCATCACTGAGGAGTTCTTCACTCATTTTCTCAGGTTTCTTTTGAACCTGTAGAATTGTAGACAACATTTAATATTCTCTACTCCTCACTTTGGAGAAAATAATTTCTATGCATTAAGAACTAATAACTTCTATAATGACTACACTTAAAAAAAAAAATACTTCATCCATGGCCATCAAAATTCCTATATAAATTCAAGCTTGCCTTTTCTTTCAAGAAACAGCAAGCTAATTAATTGAGCAGTGCTAAAAATGCCAAATAATCATTGGCTCTGATTTAAGAAATGCTTAGGGCTGCCAGGTATGGAAGGTTTGTGTTATGAAGAAAGGCTGCATAGCTGGGACTTTTTCACTGGAATATAGAAGTTTATAGAATCATGATGGGTATAGATAGTTAATGGTAGTGGTCTTTTCCCTAGGATGGAGGGTTTCAAGAATAGGGGGGCACATTTTTAAAGTGAGAGGAGAGAGATTTCGAAAAGATATGAGGGGCAAATGTTTTAAGAGTGTAGCTTGCATGTAGAATGAACTTCCCGACGGAAGTCGTGGATGTGGGCACAATTACAACATTTTTTAAAAATTTGGATAAGTCCATGAATAGGAAAAGTTTGGAGGGATATAGGCCAGGAGCAAGCAGGTGGGACTAGATTAGTTTGGCAATATGTTTGACATGGACTGGTTGGACCGACGGGTCTGTTTCTGTGCTGTATGATTCTATGAATTCTGGACTTTTTAGACAACAGAACTTCAGCCTATTTTCGGAGGCCAAATAACCACAATGATAATTTAAGTTCGTGCTCTTTATGCAAAATCTTTCCAAGTTCAACCAGAAAGTTCTCTTTTTGTAAGGAACATTAAACATAAAACAGTTAGTGAATAAATCATATTGACAATACCCTGTTTGACAAAGATAAAGAAATTGGTCATCTAACCCTAAACATTTATCTTCAGAGTGATCTTCAAGTTAAAATAATTTAATCAGCTTTGTAACTTGGAAGAGGTAGCCTAGAAAACCAATATCTATTAGGCTGATAGGCAGTGAGCCTTTTCTTGTCCTCAGCTCATAACTTATATCTCGAAGATCACTTTCTTTCTAAAAGTAGACTGCTCAGATGACACGCGATATTCAGTCAAATCTCTGATGTGACAGCGACTATAGATTCAAATTCTGGGAATTGTAAGTTCCCACCCTTGGAGAAATGTGAACTCAAGTCTCTAAATCAATGTTGTCTTTAAATAATCCTTGTTGCAGTATTTTTCTGTTGAAGAATGTGAACATCAATTTCGTTAATGTAGGATAGAAGATCCCCTGGTGGTATATCAAAAACACGATGGCCTCAGTTTATACAGAGATCAATTGTCAAGTCATTTCATCTCTGTCTTATAAGGTTCAACATTCCATTTCAAATATTCTAACCAACCACGTCAGGTCAATAGAAATAGATTCTCACTGACGAGTTACAAAGAAGAATTAAGCGGCATTTTAAAAAGAATAACACTTTCGCCACTAACACATTCATTGAACTTTATGCAAATATACATTAATGTACAATCTCAAGAAGGAACTAAACAGCTCCAATGAGGAGTTTAAGCCTGCAATTTTAATCCACCTTTTTCCTTTCCTCATCTAAACAGACCTGCTGTACTGCCAGAATACTGTGGTTACACTCTTGTTCCTAAGCTATGTAACACATGGTATGAACTTGTAGAAACACAGTAAGCATATTTTCACTAAAAAGAGAAGAACTGATTTCATGTGAAGTTTTAGTCTTGAATAAAGAATCATTCTATCGCTTTAATTTAAATGCTGCATCATACATACCTTCACTTTAATAATTTTGCTCTTGAAGCTGTTAAGAACTACAGTCACTTCATCAGTACCAGCTGGGGAGTCTGTTCCATCGTGGCTGAATGATAGACAGAACGTTGTACATTTTAGAAGAGAAAAGGTAACATGGCATTTAAAAATCTTTAGGAATTACAATTATTTTTCAGATTAGAAAACGCCATTATAAAATATATGGTGCACAGTAAGCCAATCACAGGAATCAACACATATCATACACCCATCATCATCATTTGGCTTCCTTGTTTTAAATGCAATTTCATAATAGATAAACTAAACATCATTACCAGGGAGGATGAGGATACAAGTTGAACAGATCAAGACAGCAAATTTATTCAGTAAGTTGCCACACAAAACAGGTACCATTCACCGGGCAATGCAAACAGATCCCTGATGGGTGGCAGCAGGTACACTGATGTTGACACTCGGCTAATGGCTAGGTATGGGGGAGAAGAAACAGCTTTAGTTCTTTTGCCCACCAGTGAACTAGCACCATTTCTTTGTAGTTCACAGTGATATAGAATAATTTTGTTCTGGTTTGCTGCTCCCTGCTAACATGGTGAGCACTTGCACATGAATAATGACCACTTGAGCACAACAGGTAGGAGAGGAGTCACCACCATCAAACCATGGCACAGCAAGGTGAGAAAGAGGTGGTGACATCACTGGACTGGTCATCCAGAACTCCAGGCTAATGTTCTGGTGGCATGTGATCGAATCCCACCTTGAAGAAGAAAATATTTATTCAGTCAAAATCTGGAATAAAAAGCCAGCCTAATGTGCCAACCACATCGGTTGCTGTCAAAGTCCAACTGATTCATCCATCTGCCATATTTACCTGGCCTATCCTACACATGACTCCAGACCAACGGCAAAGTAATTGACTTTTAACTACCTTCTGGGCAAATAGAGATGTGCAATAAACACTGGCCAAGCCAGCAATGCCCTCATCCCAATGAACAAATAAAAGAGGTGAAGGCGCTCCATGCTGATGAGATGATAAAAGGGTCCAATTGACAAAACGCACATAGACAATATCAACTACAATGAGAAGATAGGTACTTGTATCTCTTCCAGCCTCTTAAACACTGCACAAGTAATTCCTTCAAGATGCAGTGACACAGATAGAAATGGATATAGTACATTAAAATCAGAGTCTGCAGTCATCATGAAAACATTTTAAAACACGAGTCCACTGTGTTTTTGAACAGGGGACAGATTAAAGTAAGTGATGACTGCACTATACAGCAGTCATTTTTTTTTTAGAAAGGTCTTAAGAAGCATGGAGTGTATTCTCAAAATTAGTTAACAGTGTACAAAAATGTATGTGTATTTTGTTTCATAACATGAAACGTGCTAGAAGGATTGATGCTGAATGCTTTCTTCAGCTGGGCTGTGAAAAGTTATCATAAACAAAGAAAATAAAAGCTTCTGACTTATTCAATAGTTCATGCTAAACAGACTTCCAGAATGGTTTTCATATTAGTACTGCTAATGAACTGTCAATGTTGTTTTTTGTTGTGTACCTGTAAATTTTATAGATATCTTCTGATCTTCCTTTCCTTAGTCTGAGCACCCAAGCACCAGGATTGGCTTTTAACTGGAAATAGCCCTGTTCAGAACAACAACATAAATATTCAGTTTATTTTCATTAACTTTGGTTTAATGGCACATTACCAAATTTACTTGCAAACTTTCAATTAAAAACACTATTTCAATTTCTGCAAATTAATCTTCTGAGAACGGGCAATGCACTTTAACTTCATAGACAAAAGCCGACTTAAAAGAAACAAAACAATATGCCCAAGCATAATGGAAATAAAAAGGGGAAGATAGAGAAAGTTAAGGAATTGGAAGATTGAGAAAGTTAAGGAATTGGAAGATTTTGTGAACAGACAGATAGCACCTGTAGTTTTACTTGATGCAGGGATTCAAGAAGAGAATAAGGCCAACTGCACTGATAATACCTGGCCTGGTTTTAGGGCAACTGCATCACATAGTACTAACACAGAAAGGAAATAGACCTGTGTTGGAAGAAAGTGAGGTTTAAAGCAGGGTCTCAAAGTACACGGTAATGAAGTGAATAGAGGTGCTAGGGAAGAGAAGGAAGCAAAGCTGCAGCACATGCAGGTTCAAGAATGAAGCTTTGCAGAAATAACGGCGATTTCACAAGGAACCAGGTGTGAATGGAGTCGCACGCTAGCATACTGCAAACTAATTACCAGGATCATACGATAATCCAGACAGCTTGAGAGCAGAATAAGACCTGCGGGGAGCATAAAAGAGTGGGGTCAGCAGTGAGATCACTGCAAAACCAATGGGAAACAGAAAGAAAGCACTACAGCACCATCAGTGAGATTAGATAAGGTATGCAGAGAGAATAAAACAGCAATGGCAGAATGGAGAGCCAGAACAGAGTAAGACAAACGAGAAGCATAAATATCTGCTGCTCTGATCCCATTGACCACATTCAAGAAAAAAAAATCGCAGTGATGCCAAAGAGAACGAGCCAAATAAATGTTTGATGATACCTTACTTCTCTCGCTAAACTCTAAGCTGAAAAAATAAAAATTGCAACTGGGTAATTCTAATAGGAAGGGAATGAATAACAGTATAAGACATACAAAATCTACAGGCATTAATTCACTAGGCAGTAACTCTATCAGGTATGGAAGAAATATAAATAATGGATTAGGTTCACAGTTGAACTATTTAGACAACTTAATATACTTACAAATAACTGTCAAATAATACTTTTAACTTGAAACCTAATTAGTTAAAACCAATGCAATCAAGATCGCAGCACAGGTGATGTGTTGCAGCTGTAGCATGTGGAAGCTGCTGGGCACCCATGTAATTCACAGCAACCACATCTGCAGGAAGCACCTTCAGTTCAAGAAACTTCCACTCAGAGTTCATGAGCTGAAGACTTAATTTTGGGCACTGTAATGCATCAGGGATGGAGAAAGCTGCTTGGACAATTTATTCTAGCAGGTAGACACATTCTTCCAGTCAGGTACATCAGATTTAGTCCATGGTCAGAGGTGTAAGTGAGGCAGATCTGGGCATTAGGAAGGTAGTAACGAGGAAATCTCAGCCCTTGCAATTGACCATCAGGTTTGATGTTCTTGCAGCTTTTGGAGATGACAACAAAGATCACAGAAAGAATAAACAAACTGACTATCATACACGGTGCAATGGGTCATTCAAGTTGGCAGGGTCAAAAGGGACACAGTAGTGGTTTAGGAGAAGAGTGAAATCCCCAAAGCCTGTGTTGCCTGCTGATGTCAGAGTTAAGGACTTCTTGAGGCTGGTGAGAGTTTTCAGTTGAAAGGTTATCATTGTCATTGTTACCCATGTGGATAATGGCAAAGACATGGCTAGGAATGAGGAACTGCTGAACAAAAAAATGAACATCTGAGAATTAAATTAAAAGACAGAACTACAAAGTTAATAATCTCTAAATTACTAACTGAGCTAAGAGGAAATGGATATCAGTTAAATAAGACAAAAAAAGTGTACGGTTTAAAGATGTTGTGGGATAAAGTCGGTTTCCATTCGCACAATACCCTGCTGCAGAAACAGATAGCTGTACTGTACTGCGACAAGTGTTCTGGCAAATCATATAGTTTGGACTGTAGTAGAACTTTAATGTAAATAGTGGTGATGGGGTAAAGGGTTCTCATGAGGGGAGACTTGGAAAATTAAAAAAGGACCAGGCCAGGATACAGGTTAATTTTGCAGATGATGACCAGAGTGTGACAGGAAAGCACAAAGTGCATCAGTAAATAAGGCCAGAGTAGGAAAAAATGGTATATCTACCTACTTCTTGAAAACGAAAGGCTAAGAAAGTTGAGTGATCCACATTTGAGTTTAGATAAACGAAAAGTGATCTCGCTGAAACATGCAAGATTCTAAGCAGGTTTGATGTAGATGCTGAGAGGATATTTACAACCATGGGGGAAATCCAGAAAAAGGGGGCACAGTTTAAAAGGAAGTCTCCTCTCAAGACGAAAATTAAGAGAAATGTCTTCCATTACAGTCAATACACTTTGGAATTCTCTTCCATTGCAAGCAGTGGAGGTTGAATCATTAAATATATTCAAAGTTGAATTAGTCAGGTTTTATAATCAACAAGGATTTCAATGGTTTTTAGGAGCAGACAGGAAGGCAGAGTAAACAGTCTACAGGCCAGACTCAAGGTACCAAATGGCCTATTCTTGCTCCTTTGTGTGTCAGCTTCTTTCAATTAAAATAAATTAATAATCTTGGTTAAAAAAAATGTTATGGCACCTGCATCTCAGAGAAATTGCTTTGTTGCACTAAGTTTGGTTGAATTCTTTTGGATGACGCAGAAGGCGGAGAGGATAGAATTCATAGAAGGAAGAAAAATAAATTTAACCAATGAAAGTGTAGAGGCAATAATGAAAGAAGGAAAAACAAATGGATCTTCACAGCAGTTCATACTCATGAACAGATAAACAGAGAATCTTATTTCAAAAATTTTGGTCAAGATTTGTGCTTGCAAAGAGCTAACTGTACCTACCAGGTTTGCCATTACAATTGTGTCCACGATTTCCTGGTTTGCATTGGTGCCCAGGGTAAATTGGAGACCTCTGGGGGGCTGTCCTGTTGAAACATCATAACAATGTCCTTCTAACAAAAGGTACTCCAATTCATACTCTGCTGCTATTCCGCCATCAATCTGAAAAAAGATTTGTATGCATTAAATTCTGCTTCAGGAACCATTATAAGGTCTTTGAGTTATTTTAATGGCTGTTTAAACTTTGAATTATAGAACTTTTACGTTGCAGAATGTGACCATTCAGTTCATTGTACTTGCACTGGCTCTTTCAAGGAACTGTATGATTAAGATTCAATTCCTCTACTCTCTCCCACAGCCCTGAAACATATCTTTTTCCTGTGCATATACAATTTCCTTGGAGAGCTACTATTGAATGTTTCACAATCTATGCTGGGAGTGCATTCCAGATCATAACAATTCAATAAACTTTAATAGTCAAAATGGCAGTGGACTAGGACGCTCCAATCGGAGCTCCTCTGCTCACTTCCCGTTTTCTTCTTTTCTTCCCCTTTTATACCCTTGTGGTGCTCTCTCCTGAGGTACAGCGGGCTGGAGGCATGGAGTGCATTGGGCTGGAGGCTCGCGCGGAGTGGGTCAGTCAGCGGGATGGACGCTTGCACAGAGCGGGGACGGTCAGCGGGATGGACGCTCATGCAGAGCAGGGACAGCCAGCGGGGTGGAGGCTCGAGCAGACTGGGATTGCCAGCAGGCTGAAGGCTCGTGTGGAGTGGGGACGGCCAGCGGGCTGAAGGTTCGCGCAGAGTGGGACAGTTGTTGGACCGGAGACCGGTGTGGGTGGTTAGCAACTTGCGAGCCTGGAGCAGATCATATGTGGAAAGCTCCTGCTCTGATCTACTGGAAGACTATAATGCTTATCTTTTTAACTTTATTCTCATTTTTCTAACTTATACTATGAACAACTCTAAGTAATGTAACTTTTCTTTTCCCTTTATTTTTGTATTGTATATCTAAGATCTGTACTTTGTACCTAAGATAGCACCATATGGGGGCGACATTGTAAACTTCTCACTTATACTCCTGTAGCTCTGTACTTGAGTACATGTGACAATAAAGGATATTCTATTTTTAATTCTAAATCTAAATAGAAGAAATTCTGTCTGCTCTTTATTGGCAATTATCAAAAAATCTGTACATTTCTGGTTACCAAAGCACCAGCCAATAAAAGTAAAATACTATTGACACAAACACAGAGAATGCTGGAGAAATTCAATAGTTTTGGCAGCATCTGTGGAGAGGGAAACAGAGTTAATGTTGAGTCCAGTATGACCCCGCTTTAAAACCTGCCAATGAAAACCCCTCTCCTTATTTACTCCATTTCAAACTTTCCAAGATTCAACTATTCTATCACATCACTCCTTAACTTCACTGGTCTAAAGGGGGAGATCTGTTTTCCTGCTATCTCAACACAACTGAAGTTTCTCATCCCAGTTTAGTTCAGGGAAATCTCATTCTGTAATCTTTCCAAAGAACAGATATCCCTTCTAAAAAGTGTGACGTCCAGAATTGGGGACATGGTCTTAGATGAAGTCTAACCAGTGATTTGTAAAAGGTTTATGATAACTTGATTGCATCACTGATATTTTTTGTGAAGAATTCTACTATACCAACACCGAAAAACTTTCTCACTTTGTCATGCCTTCACATGACATGTTAGTCAGACTAATTTGGACTTTAAAATATTTAACAAGACACACCTCCTTCAGGTAAATATTGTCGAGATCATACGAAGTATGGACAGACTCCACCATCCAGCTCTCAGGAGTGTTGATAATCAGCGTGAAGAGGGGAGACTGAGGCATGTCCAAGAATTTGGCCACTGGTCCAGGAGCAAAGCTGCCATCTGCACTGAAAGTAATCTCAGGCTCCAAAACAAATCGGTAGATGCTGCAAAATGAAGGGCAGAAATTCCTTTGAAATCTTTGCATTCTACACCCGTTCGCTTTCTTGTGCTAACTAAACTCATTATTTATAAAATCACAACTATTTCATCCTCTATTTATAACTTAAAGCTAATGCAAAAATGAAAGTCAGGACACATACTAAAAATCAATTTTTCATCCTGGCAATACTGTTTTCATCAGCAGAAGCAGCAAACTGAATAGCACTGAAAGCTTCCATACTACCTTGTATTCAAAGCAGATGTGCAGAATCAAAAGTGGCAATATAAAAAGTCCCTCATAGAAAGTCAAAAATTGTCAATTTTTACAACATATTTAGGCTCATAAATTGAACTGCAACATGAACCTGATACAACAGACAGCTGAACCCAATGATGCAGGACCACAGCAGGCTGGCGTACCAAACTCTTTTTTAAAATTCACATGTGTAACGTGGGCATTGTTTGCTAGGCCAGCATTTGTGCACCCCTAGTGGCCTTTGAGAAAGTAGTGGTAACTTGCCTTTTGAACCTCTGCAGTCCATGTGCTATAGGTAGATTCATAACGCTGCTAGGGAGGGAATTACATGATTATGACCCAGCAACACTGAAGAAATAGCGATATACTTTAAAGTCAGGACGGTGAGTGGCTTGGAGGGGAACTTACAACTGGTGGTGTATCTGCAGCCCTTGTCCTCCTATATGGTAATGATCATGGGTGTGGAAGGTGCTGTCAAAGGATTTCTGGTGAATTTCTGCAGTGCAGAACCAGTACACACTGCTGCTACTGAGCATCTGTAGTTGAGTGGCTAAACAGTTGTGGATGTTGTGCCAATCAAGCTGGCTGTTTTTTCCGAGATGCCATCAAACTTCTTGACTGTTATTGGAGCTTTGCTCCATCACAATCCTAACGTCAGCCTTGCAAATTGTGTACAGGCTTTGGGGATTCAGGTTGTGAATTACTCACTGCAGTATTCCTAACCTCTGACTGGCTCTTGTCGCCATTGTATTTATACGGCAAGTCCAGTTCAGTTTTTGGTCAACGGTAATCCCTAGGACATTGATTAGTGGGGGATTCAATGATGGCAATGACATTTGTGTGCACGAATGTTACTTGCCACTTGTCAGCCCAAGCCCGGATATCATCCAGATTGTTTTATATTTGGACATGGTCTGCTGCAGTGTCTGAGGAGACACAAATGGAGCTGAGCATTGTGCAATCATCAACAAACATCCCGACTTCTGACCTTATGATGGAGGGAAGATCATCGATGAAGCAACTGAAGAAGGCTGGGCCGAGGACATTATCCTGAGGAACTCCTGCAAAGATGTCCTGGAGCTGAGATGACTGACTTCCAATGGCCTCAATCATCTTCCTTTGTGCTATGTACAACTCCAGTTAGTGGAAAATTTTCTCTCATTCCCACTGACTCCAGTTTTGCTTGGGCTCCTTGATGTTACACTTGGTAAACTGTGGCCTCGATATCAAAGGCTATCACTCTCACCTGACCTCTAGAATTCAGGTCTTTTGTCCATGTTGCAATGTGGTCAGGAGCTGAGTGGCCCTGGCGGAATCCAAACTGGACAGGGTATTGCTGAGCAAGTGCTGCTGGATAGCACTGTTGACGACAGCTTCTACTGATGATCAAGACAGGGCAGTAATTGGCACGGATGGATGTGTCCTGTTTTATGCACTGGGGAAATTTCCACCTTGTTGTGTAGATGCCAGTGTTATAACTGTACTGGAACAGCTTGGCTAGGGCAGCAGCCCATGTTCTGGAGCACAAATCTTCAGTGCTATTGCTGGAATATTGTTAGGGCCTTTATGGTATCCAGTGCCACCAACCGAAGACCAGCATTTGTGATGCTGGGGACCTCTGAAGGAAGCAGAGATTGATCATCTGCTTGGCACTTGTGCCTGAAGATCGTTGCAAAAGCTTTAACCTTATATTTACAGGTAAATTAACAGTGGCAGCTCTGGCTGAAGATTGGTCAGCTCAGAAATGATCTGATATCGTTTAAGAGTGTCGGTTGTGGTGAAAACAATTAAGCAAATATAAAGGAGCCAAGGAGTAGATGGCTACTGCTCACACTTCTAATAAGGAGCCATTTTTGCTTCCACACATAGGGTACCTGAAGCCTATGCAGGGCTCCTATGGCAAAATGAGGACATGGTAGCGAAGAGGTCATTTCACTGGACTAACTATCAGGACTCCAGCAAATGTTCTGGGGACATGACTTTGAATCACACCACTACAGATAGTGAACTTTGAATTCAATTTTTTAAAAATTGCAATAAGAAGTTAGCTATGGCAACTATGTAACAATGCTATAGAAAAATATCTGGTTTTCTAATGTCCTTTATGGAATGAAATCTGTCATCCTGACTCTCACATCCCATGAAAGAACAAGAAAAAATGTAACTGGAATGTGCACAACTGTAATAATTTTCTTCAGGTTATTATCAACCAAACCATTAGTCTTTAAAGGGACCGGTGAGAATTGTCAATTCAACTATTTACATTGCCTTATTATGAAGAAAAAGTGCTCCACTTATATTTTACAATTTGACCTTTGGCTATGATGTCACAAACAAGGCCAGCATTTATTACGCATTCCTAATTACCTACAGGAAAGTAATGGTGATGTGTGGCTCCTGGAAACAAGGTCTATCCATTGACTATCTGGCTCAAGATTCTGGTGCACAAGATTCCAATGTGTGGACAGCATGTATAACAGAGATGTTAAAATGTGAAATGTCTTGCAGCAAGTAACAAAATGCTTAAGCAATTATTATTCTGTCCAGAAGCTCTTCACTGTTCTCTGGAGCTCGTGTTGCAATTTGTAACAGTTGCTGCATCCTGCACAACATCAGCCTCATGAGGGCATACTGTTGCAACCAGGAAGGCAATGAACAGGAGGAGGTACATGTGATGTGTCAACATGATATCCAATCTGAATAGCCTTTGCCATCTTAATATAAAACAACAGTTCTTCACAAGGAACTGGTTCAGTCAATGTGAAAAGACATGAAACAGTTTCTTCACAACTCTGTTCGATAGAAATATACAAAGTGTCACTCATTAGACAAACATTCCATATTTTAATGATCTACATGCTGTCTTGAAATTGATTAAGGTGCAATTGCTGCTCAATACATTCAAGAACAATTATAGCTACTTAATCCAAGTTTGACAACACTGCTTTGACTTTTCTGACAAATCCATATGTGCACGTCATGGGAAAGTGATATTTTCCAGATGAAAAGCAGGAAGCTTGCTGACAGGTGAGATTTGTTTTTTTCCCACAATCTATTAGTCAATAGCGAGAGGAATTATCAGAAGTTAATGCATGGATTGGTGGCAGAAAAAGCAACCAAATTCACCAGTTTATTGATCAATAACAAGCTCTCGGAAATCAAGTTTACTGATTGCAAGTAACTGTTTCTGCATCTTATACATAAATACATTTTATTTGCATTTATGTTACATTGTACTTTAATACTGTACAAGCAAGTGGGACAGGTTTTGTTCGGGAGACTTAGTCTACGTGGTCAAGTTGGACCGAAAGGTCTGTTTCTGTGCTGAATTATTCTATGACTCCATGATATTTGCTTTGTTTGAAAATTCAGCTCCAAGTATTGTTAAAGCACTATTCCAAGTTTGATTGGCAGAGGAGAGCAAATAACTGTACTTGGCAATAGGTGGTGTTTGACAGAATATGACATCAAAAGGGGGGGTGGGGAAGGGATGTCCGCGAGAAACCTCCAGACTGAAATCATGCCTGGTGCAAAGGAAAATGGTTGCAACGTTTATTAGGAACATAAATGCACAAGTTCTTCATGATAGCATCCTCAGTTCTTTGTCAAAAAGCATCCCTTTATTATATTAACAATAATACTGTTGGTAATGTTTCTATTCTCTATTCCATTCTCTACGTTATTCACTTCTGTGTTGATGTGGTCTATTCTTATTTATCATTAAGCTCACAAACCCCACATGACCAGAGGTGAAATCCACACTGTTTTGGACTTGCTGCTTCAGCTTTGATGAGATAACATCCACGTAGATGCAGAAACATCATGTGTAGAGTATTTAACTGTTTCCAGATAATCCCTCAACGGAAAGAGATTATTTCTGGCTGATGCAAGAAGAGTTCTTACCTTTTCAGGGGCATTTCTGAAAGTTTTGGTTGACAGTTCATAAGCACATGAAGATTCATGTTGACCAGCTGGTTTAGAACCTATGAAGATGGAAAACATCTTGCATAATTTAAAGATATAAAGGGCTAAAATAACTGAAGCAAAGACAATGATGGAATGGGTATCATCACCTGTGCTGCAAACTGTCAAGATTTTACAGAATAATTAAGTCTGCAGATGTGATCTATTTCAGAAGGAGTGGCAAATTAAATCATAAAACCTTAACACATTGCAACAATAATATCAACCACTATTTGTTCAAAATAAACGCTGCATTCAGAAAGGCAAGGGAAAATGTGGGATGTCTTCTTCATCAATGTTTTGGAGAGATTGATTGTCTCATCAGAGTAATGAACTGCCTCTTGAATGGTTCCCGGCATTTTGTCTCCACCATCCTCATAGGAAAGCCAACCACCTGCTGGTGAACCTTAACATGAAATAAGGTGCCATGACACTTGTCAAAGTTATAATCTGGTCAAAGATAAGACCAAGTCTCTTGTAATGCAATTGTAGTTTAAGCCAGTGCTTATTATTGACTTTTTCAATACCATTAAGTAATAAAATCTATTACATTAGATTAATACATCTACCTCATTTATCTTACTTCAAGATAGATGAGCCTAAGTCTATCCTAGATTTATTGTTCAGTTATCTGTCAAGGATTGAGGTTTTCTCAACCGCCTCAAATATTATGTCTTGCTGAACAGCAGCGAGCACAATACACCAAGCATGTACTGTCAGTTATATGGTTTATTATTATTGGTTCTATTGTTATGAACAATAACCTCAGTATTAAATTGTTTGAAATTGTACACTGTTAAATAAGGCTAATTCAACGAAGGGATAATACTTCATTTCACTGGTACATATATAAGGTGTGACATGGTCCACAACAATCTTCTAGTTGCTCATCCCGAGCTCGGCTCATCCTCATCTCGTTGCAGAAATTTCTCAACCTTAAGTGATTGGCAAGCACTCTTCTGTCGCCAAGGCAAAGTACTGCTGCATTCAGCATTTGCAATTGGCAATTTTAAGTCAAGCCTTAAGCTAAAACACATGATGCGGATATTTCTAATTGCAATAGTTTCTGTAATTTGGCATGGTGCTTGTTGCACAGGAGACAGCAGAAACTACTTCACTCACCAAAAGGAATGAAGAAAGCCTTTGAGCATCTCTGGTCACAGGATCAGTTATGGCCATCACTTCAAAGTAAACCTGTTCTTCTTTGGGGCGTAATTTAATTGCACTAGAAAACATCCAAGATAGAGGGACACAAAAATAAATAAATTGCCCGAAATAGATCTATTTTATTTAAAAGTCACAGTTGAGGTCAGGTGACCAAAGTTAGGTACAGCATGATGAAAACTGAATTAATTGAATAGTGCTCACCTGAACTCTCCTTCAAAGAACCGGAGGTCGAGCCTCGATTCTCCCTTGGACTTCGATGACAGTAGAGAATCCACTTTCATTACAAGATCACTCGCACTTGGAGATAGAAAAAATACTGTTAAACATAAATATAATTCAAGCAAAAGGCCACTTAATAGTCAACCTTGACAATCCCCTATATCAACTGTAAAATATTGTTTTTTTTTCCAGAGCCTTTCACAATCACATATTTAATTACATGTTCGCAATGTTGAAAAATTACCCCAATTTAGAAAAATGAAAGGCACACTGCAATTGGAGATAACTGAAATTGTAATTAATCATTTGAAACGAGTTATCTATTTAAGCCATCAGTAGGTTTTATGAAATATGTTTAAATGTTTTTCAGTAAAAAGTTCAATTTGTGTAAAAATATGCAATTAGGATTTGCATTAACAATACACCCCACAGTTAAGACAAAGCTTATACTCAGTGTTAAAAGCAAAGTATTAATCAAAGCTTGTATGAATGTACTGTGGATGAAAAATTGGAATGCAGTAGATTAATCAATTCTAACAATATGTAATTAATGCAAACTAGGGCATTTTGAACATCAGCAAACTTTGAACCAAGTCTGAAATATTCAGAACAGGTTCTATGAAGCCATGGACACAGCAGAAATGGTCAAGTCATGATTTGATCGCATGGCAAAATAAGAAAATAATCACTCTAGCTGTGAAAACCATAAAACCAACCCCAGCTCCACAAAAACACAATCTCAATTTTTTATTAGGGCTGCAGTTTGTCATGTTAAAATCGTGTCCCATTCACTTTGTGGAACACATCATCTTCAGGATCATCGCTAACTTTTATTGCTTGACTTAGAAGCGCATGAGACAGGCACTTCCTCTCTCTCTGCCAAACATTTTTGGTAGTGGATTCTATCTTATCGTTAGGGTTTAGTAGATCAAAATGATCACAGCTGCTGTCAAATGATTCACTGTTCCAGTCGTGCAGTTAATTGATATTTCACTCCAACAATCTCTGACATCATGTAATCTGAATTACCTCTTAACTTCTCCAGATGCAGTTGTGAACTCACAAAAGGGACATTGTGTCACATTCACCCACAGATATCTTTGTATGGCTCAATGCTATGCTTTGCCTACTACTCTGTCTCACCTTTAGAATGTCTTAAAATGAGCAATATTCCTAAATGTCTGCTGGTCATAGAATTATATTGATTGGATCATTAAACAGCAATGTTCAGAGTGCAATTATAGAGGTAGTTTGTCATCATCACCCAAGCTCAGAGATGATTATACTCAATCACCTTTTTAAGCATAACAGTGCAACATTACTTACAGCGAGCAGCAGGAAAGATTACAATGACAGGAGTGTTCATCAATGCAAAATACTACAATGCTCTCTATTGTCTTTGTTAACATATTGTTGATTTTGCATCATCTTCTCTATCTTTAATTTCTTTCATTTCCTGCATAGCTGTCAAATTTCCTTTTAGTGTCTAACTGCCCATGTTTTGTTATGCTCTTTGTGCTTTTGTAAAAAAGAGCATTCCTTCCCACCGCATTGTGGGTCACACAGATGGTTGCGCACAGACATAAAAGTTAATAATATTATTACCTAATCTATGGTGTACAGGAATTTGGGAAGCAAAGTGCATTCTTGGAAGTTGAGCTACAGCAAGCACGTAGAAGTGGTGCTGCAGGACAGTCAAATTAGAGGAAGGATGTTCTCACAAAAGGAGGATTGCAGGAAAGAATAGAAGGAACAAAGTACAAAAGATCACAGTTGAGACAATGCACGGGTACAGAGAAAGTGAACCTCGTGTTTGGATTCGGACTGAAGGAGGGATACACCTCATCTTATCACAGAAAATGAAGTGCCAAAAGTTAGGATCAATAGGATTACAATTTGGAAAGTGGGAAAACTTCCAGGGATGCGGAGGTTCAGAGATTCAGTGTGGGCTTTGGCAACACTTATCTGTCAGAATAGGGCTTTAAAGTACTTGCAGTAAACAATTTGAGGTCTGCAAACATGAAGGCAGGGAAAAGAAAAATCATCAAGGGGGGAATCTGAAACCTAGGGGCATTTGAAACATTGTGGATCTGGCAGATCCTAAAGGGTGATGCTGGAGTCTGGTTACATTGAAGTGAAACTTGAAGGAATTGGTGTAAGTGGAAGGGAGAGTACAGGATTTTGGGAGCTGAAAGTGAGGTACAAACTTGCAACAGTTAGGAGACCAGGAATTTAGCAAAAGATTTGGTTTGTGGAAGGAAGGGCTATGGAAGTAGGATCCAAGGCCATTGAAGGAAGTGGCCTTGGCTGGAATGAAGCACATGGAGCTGGAAGTAAGCCCAGGAACACCAAAATTAACAGGTCAATTCCAATTTGTACAGTAACAAATTTTAAGTTCAAAAATCCCTTGAAAAGATTGACTGAAACTAACACAAAACTCCCATTAATATCACTCACAGATCTTCTTCAACCATCAGCATTCGGATCCTGACTTTGATTTTCTCTGCTGCTTCAACAGCAATACTCTCCAACAGGTGGAAGTCATTCTGATTGAAGATTTCATTTTCTTCCAGTGGTCCAATAATCTACCAGATTTGAAAAGTACAAGCTTGTTATTATTTCAGACTCTAGACAAGAGATTGTATGTGGCTGACCCAGTGAGGTAGATTAGCGCAAACAAACAAATGAAATTGTATTAAGTTGGGTGAATCTGATACTCAATTCCAGACAAACCATTGAGCAGTTTGTTGCCTCCAATTGTGAATGGCTATTCCAGCCTCTGTGTATTCCTTGGTATTAGATCATCTAAAAAAGGTAAATTTTGGTTTATTCCAGTCTGAATTTTATCTTGACTTCTAGGCCAACAGCTATATGCAAAGCTGTGACAGAACAGGCTAATCTGGTGTGTACTTGATCCAATGTTTACAAATTGGATAAGTACAAATTGTCTAATAACTTGACATAAAAAACATTGGTGTCAGAGGTCTGTGTATTTACTGGTAGCAAACAATATCAATTTGCAAAAGCCACAAATATCTGAAATATTGAATAAAACCAATTCATTTTGGCAGCATCAGGTAAATGGTACATTTGGACGTTGGTCCTTTCCAATCAGATTTCTTGAGATGTACTAAGACAGCAAAAATTATAGCCACACAAAAACAGAGAATAATGAGTAATAGGTTATATATTTTTAGCAAATATAATCTTATAAGGTGATGATTCCTCAGCAATGTGCAGCCAGAGTCAAGCCCATAGCACCATGAGCAACTCAGTTATAATGGGGAGGAGGGAGAATGAAAGGGGAATAGATATAGGGGATTTCATATTCAGGGGGTCAGACAACATTTCTGTTGTAGTAAGTGAAACTCCTGGATATGAAAATCTGGTTCCAGGTTCAAAGATGTCACAGTGCGCAAGAGGAAGGGAAATCTGCCACAGATTGTGGTCCACATTAGTACCAACTACATAGGTAGGATGAGAGATGAAGTCCTGAAGCCAGATTTCAGGGAGTTAGGAAGGAATTTATAAAAAAAGGACTTCAAAAGCAGTAATCTCAGAATTACTCTAGTGCTATGTGCCAGTGATGATAAAAACAGGACTGTCTGATTGAATAAGTGGCTGGAGAACTGGTAAAGGAGAGACAGCCTCACAGCACCAGGGACCCGGGTTCAATTCCAGCCTCGGGCGACTGTCAGTGTGGAGTTTGCACATTCTCCCCGTGTCTGCGTGGGTTTCCTCCGGGTGCTCCGATTTCCTCCCACAGTCCAAAGATGTGCAGGCCAGGTGGATTGGCCATGCTAAATTGTCCATAGTGTTTAGGGATGTGTAAATGAGGTAGGTTATAGAGGGGATGGGTCTAGGTGGGATGCTCTCGGGGTCGGTGTGGACTTGTTGGGCCGAAGGGCCTGTTTCCACACTGTATGGATTCTATGATCTATGATAATATTTCTGAGAAACTGGGACTGGTTCTGGGGAAGGTGGGGCCTGTACTCAAGCTGGACAGGTTCCACTAAACAGGATTGGGACTGATATTCTCACAGCAGGATTTGCTGGTTGTATTGGAGTGGGTTTATACTAGCTTGCCGGGTGACGGGAACCCGAAGGGGAAACCAAATTGGAAGAAATCTAGGTTTGTAATAGGAAGTTGAAAAAATGCTAGGGAGACAAAGGAACAGCAGAAACAAAGCAGAGTATACGTTGAAAGCAGAATTGCATCAAAAGAAAGTAAGTTAATGGTATTCTACCTGAATGGACACAGCATTCATGACGAAGTAGACGATGTAAAGTCACAAAAAGAGATGTATGGTTTTGACCTAATTGTTATTACGGAAATCAGAACTGTGAGCTGAATATTCAACATTTAGGAAGGACAGGCAACAGGTGAAAGGAGGTGGAGTTGCACTGTGAACATGGAATGGGATCAGTACATTAATATGGGAGGATCTCAGATTAGAAGAACACTGAGTGGAATCTGTTTCGGATCGAAGATACCCCAAGGAGCAGCACACATTGTTTGGAGTTATGCATTGATCCATAAAATAGAAGAAGTGGTGCAGGGCACAGTATTAATCAGAGATGAGAGAAGTGTGTAGCAGGGCGACACAATTACCATGAGTCATTCAATCAGCATATAGACTGGGTGAATCAACTGAGCACTAAACCTGTGGAGGACATGTTTCTGAAGTGTGTAAGTGATGGTTTTCTGGAGCCAACCAGAGGGCTTTTTATTTTAGTTCTATTATTATGCAATAAAAATTAACAATCTTTAACAATCTTTCTGTTTCTATTCCTACTCTGGTGAAGGGATCCACCTGAAAAGATAATGTGGTAAGCGAGAACAACAATCTTAGTCAATTTGTTGAGTTCAACTTGGCAGGAATTGAAACTGCCAACTCCTTGTGATGAGAATACAATGAAGGTTTTTGCTAAGGAAAGTAGTTGATCAGAGTGAACATAGGGGAAAGCCAAAATTCAAGCCTGAACAAGACACTTCCTAACTTCAGCCAGGAACACTCAGGGAAACTGAGTTGAGTTGAGGCTGGAGGTCTAGACCTGCTGTTGAAGCAAATATTTTGATCCAGTGTGGCAGATGTTCAGGTAGGAAAAACTTCTGCTGATGTTACGGGATTGTCAAGTCAAAATAAAACAAAATGCTGTAAATATTCTACAGATCATGCAACATTAATGGAGAGGAGTTAATACTTCAGGCCATCGACATTGCATCAGAACTAGCCTGAAAACATAACTGTTTCCCTCTACACAGATACCGCCTGATCTACTGAGTATTTTCAAAATTTTCTTGTTTCCTTTTCATGTTGCTAGAATATGCAGTAGTTTGAGTATGTTTAAACATCAAATCAGCAGTCCCAGAGAGCCAGGGTAAAGAATATGAGAAGTGAGATACAGCTTTACTCATTGGCATAATCGTAGTCCACTATTTAAAACTGTCTGTTAAACTATGGTAGTCTGCACACCAAGGACAGAAAGCAAATCCTCAAGTGCCAATGAAGAACCTGAAATTGTCTGACTCCACTTGACAGTGACTTTCTTTTCAAGCGAAACCAACAAAGTACTTACTCGTCCATTGCTGATTATAGCTCTCTGTCCTCCCTTCAATTTTACGACATCCTTGCAAAAAGAACTGTGTGACAAAATGAAATCCAATTTCAAAGTTTCAAACATCTTTTTGAAGGCATCATTGTCCATACCCTATAGAAGTGAACAGAGAAAAAAGGTCAAGCAAAACACGAGTGCAAGTAAATTGGAAACAAAGATAATCAGACATGATGCGTTATTGACTTTCCGCATTCTACTGAATGTTGAAATTATTTAAGCAGTTATATCCAAAACATGGCTCCTCTTTGACACTGCTCCCAGATCGTGTAAGACTGTGGAGTACATATTCGTGCATTACCGGTCTTGTAAGAATTTATCTGAAAGTGAGGTCAGTTTATGAATCAGAATAAGAGTGTTTTGGGATGCCTTGGATGAGGTTCTTTTTTTAATATTGATTCATGGGATCTGGGCATCATTAGCTGGGCCAGCATTTATTGCCCATCTGGGGTTGCCCTTGAGGTCGTGGTGATGGTGAGCTGCCTTTTTCAGCCACTGTCGTCAATTTAGTGTATGTGCCTCCACAAAGCTGTTTGGAAGGGAGTCCTGGCTAGTGGCTTGGAGGGGAACTTGGTGGTGTTCCCATGTATGTTCAACACTTGTTTTTTTTTCCAAAAGGTAGTAGCCATGGATTTGGAAGGTGCTACATAAGGAGCCTTCTGCAATGCAACTTGTACAATGGTATACGTTGCTACTACAGAGCGCTGGTAACAGAGTGAGTGAATATTTGTGGATGCAGTATCAATCAAGCAGGCTGTTTTGTCCTGGACGCTATCAAGCTTCCTAAATGTTGTTGGAGTTGCATTCATTTGGACAAATGGGGAGCATTCCGTCACAGTCCTGACTTGTACCTTGTAGATGGTGGATAAGCTTTGGGGAGTCAGGAGACGAGTTACTTGCTGCAGAATTCCTAGCCTCTAACTTGCTCTTGTAGTCACAGATTTTATGTGGCTATTCCAGTTCAGTTCCAAATTCGTGACGTGACAATACTATGGCTTTAAAAAGTCAATTTGTCCTGGTTTTATTTCTTAAAAGAAAGGTTTTAAGACAGAGGTACAGTGATATCTATTGAAAACTTGTAAACAGCTTGTTAGGAGTTTTTTTTGGATTTTTTTTTTAAGTTGGAACAATAGAAGCAGCCTGAATGGGTGTGTTCAAACTCTCGCAGAACTAGGATTTTAGTTTCTTAGATTTTCAGTAGCCGTAGTACATGCTGCTGCAGCATATCTCTCCCTGCTACACTCTCTCCTAGTTTTTTCTTGATGTTTCTCATCCTGGGCTGCAGGAAGTTCACATGAGACAATCTATTTCATCGAATTTGCCTTTTCTCAAAGCTGGGTTTATGGGATGTTACTATATGGTAACAGTTAATTAGTAACAGTTACCAAATCCATTATTTTATTAAGCATTTCAATAGTTACAGCTAAGCCAATTCTTTCCTTTTCTTTTCTCTGTCATTGTAGTTTAACTATGGCATGTGAATAAATTGTGTTTTGCTTATTGTCAAGTAGTTTGACCAATCGAATTACATCTGGAACACAGCACTTTACACACCTTTCAAATAAAAAAAAGTTTGGGTATAGACTATTTTCTTAGCAGATTTTGAGGGGTGTTTGGTCTGGTGCATAACAGTGATAACCCCTTAGAAACATAATAGTGGGGCATTCAGCAATGGTAATGCCACTGATTGTTATGGAGGTAATAGTTAGATTCTCTCTTGTTGGGGGAGGGTCGTTGCCTGGCCATTTGTGTGGCTCAAATGTTACTTGCCACTTGTCAGCCCAAACTTCAATATTATCAAGATGGAGGCAGCCTCTTATCAAATTTTTAAACATTAAATTGAGAAGTGACTTCAGGAATCCCTCGACAGGGCAGCTTGTGGTTGCAGCTCAGGCCAGATAGCACGGATGACCTCTCAGAGCCATTGAGCACTATTCCCCTGGTCTGCCATGGCAGATGTGCCAGCTCCACATAGCAACATCATTACTCAAAGCTTTTAAGAATCTTCGTTGACGAGAAAATTGCAATTATCCTCCAACAACACATCTTAATCTCTTCTCTTTCAGCTCCTCTCATTCATCAGATCTTCTCTTTCCACTCCTCTCATTTTCTTCAAGTAAGAGGGGTTGGCATGGGTACCTGCATGGGCCTAGTTATGCCTGTCTCTTCATGGGGTACACGGAACACTCCTTGTTCCAGTCATATTCCGGCCCCCACCCACAACTCTTTCTCCGATACATCGATGATATCATTGGCGCTGCTTCCCTCTCTCGTCTGGAATTGGAAAACTTCGTCAATTTCGCCTCTAATTTCCACCCTGCCTTCACTTTCACCTGGTCTATCTCTGACCCCTCCCTTCACTTCCTCGACATTTCTGTTTCCATTTCTGGGGATAGACTGGCCACTAATATCCACTACAAACCCACTGACTCCCACAGCTACCTGGACTATACATCCTCACACTCCACTTCCTGTAAAGACTCCAAACCATTCTCTCCATTCCTCCGTCTCTGTCGCATATGTTCAGATGAGGCCAACTTCGACAAGGGAACCTCCGAAATGTCCACCTTCTTCCTCAACTGAGGATTCCCCAACTCCGTTGTCAACAGGGCCCTCAATCAGGTCCAACCCATCTCCCGCACTTCCGTCCTCACCCCTTCTCTTTCCTCCCATAACAGCGATAGGGTTCCCCTTATCCTTACCTACCATCCCACCAGCATCCACATCCAGAAGATAATCAGACGCAATTTCCGCCACCTCCAGACACATATTCTCCTCTGATTCACATATTCTCCTCTCCTCCCTTGTCTGCCTTCTGCAGGGACCGTTCGTTCCGTGACACCCTGGTCCACACTTCCTTCACCCCCAACACTTCCCCACAGCCCTACGGCACCTTCCCTTGTAACCGGCGAATGTGCAACACCTGCCCATTTACCTCCTCCCTCCCCAGGATCCAAGGGCCCAAACATAGCTTCCAGGTGAAGCAACACTTCACCTGCACTTCCCAGAATCTAGTCTACTGCATTTGCTGTTCACAATATGGTCTCCTCTATATCGAGGAAACAAAGCATAGACTTGGCAACCGCTTCGCAGAACATCTACGTTCTGCTCGCAAAAAAGACCCTGAACTGCCTGTTGCCTGCCACTTTAGTGCACCACCCTGCTCCCTGGCCAGCATGTCTGTCTCTGGCTTGTTGCAGTATTCCAGCGAAGCCCAACGCAAGGTGGAGGAACAACACCTCATTTTCCGCTTGGGGACCCTACAAACCTCCGGCTCAATATTGAGTTCAATAATTTTAGGGCCTAACCTCTTCCATGTCCCAGCCCCCTACCCAACACACCAGGCCTTGTTACCACATAGCCTGCCATTACACACCCCCTGTTGTTAGTCACTAACAGTCCCCATTAACAACTATTCACCCTCCCAGCCTGATCGTTAGCAACTCCTTTGTCTATCCAACTGTCTTTCTCTCTCTTTGGGCTCTATCCTATCGTTTACTTCCTACCCCACCCACCTCCCTATTTTCTGTACATAAACTGACATTTTCCCAGCCACCATCGGTTCTGAGGAAGGGTCACCGGACCCGAAATGTTAACTTTTTTTTTTCCCTTCACAGATGCTGCCAGACCTGCTGAGCTTTTCCAGCAAATTTGTTTTTGTTCCTGATTTACAGAATCTGCAGTTCTTTCGGTTTTTTACACATCTTAATCGACACATTTACTAATTCACTTAACTGCCCAACATTTGCAGGGAGGCAAAACATCCCAACGGCAGGATGGAACCAGGGAATTGGCAAACCACATCACAGAACAAATCTAAATGTCTGTCTGTCTCTGTGCCAGCTATCACATCTTATTTTAGCATATTGTCCAATTTCAAATTTTTCTGTAACACAACTAGATTTTGGCAAGATTGTTGACAATCGGATGGATCTGCAATACATTGAAAACACAGCATATTCTTGTAACGTTCATACCTTTACCAAGTAATTAATATCACGTAGCCTGGATCTGAATCCCCACTTAGCACTAGAATTACACTGAAAACCTAACAGCTCAAATGAAAAAAGTTAAAACTGTTGGAGTTAGCCACATCTTCACAAGAAGTGCAGTTCGTGCCTCAGGTAAATGGTGCAGGTCAATTCTGTGCAATTCAGCAATAGAAGTCTGTTGGAATTTTGTGGTATCAACGTAAAACACCACTGTCAACTGTTGGAAGCTGAGCAACATCAATGCAAAATTACACATACATCTCTTACTGTGCAATTACAATTCATTGAATAACCTACTTTTAAACCACAAAACATTTACCTCAAGCAAAATCAAGCATTTGACTGCTCACTGTCAACTTTTACTGCTCATATTTATCCACTGAAACAAAGGCTAGATGATGCTAACTTAATACAAACTAGCAATAACATCACTTACACCAACAGCGAATTCCATGATGTCTGCTCCATCAGCCAATGCTTTTGCAGTCTCTTCTTTTGCCAGTTTAGTAATGAAGTTCTTGGCATTATTTACGCTTTGAGTGTTAAGTGCAGCCCAGATGGCTCTCGCAATAATGGTGTTCTCTTCAGTGGGTTCAGTCGTTGGATTGTTTATTAAACCAATCCTCAGGTTATTGCTAGATTTCTGCAAAGCAACACACAACAGTTTTGCAGATACAAAAGATGCATCCATTTTAAAAGCACACTTAAAACTTCAGTGCCAGAGATGTTGTATATGATTTAATTATTTAATTTTTGGGAAAAGTAGCTGAAAAGCTAAGGACTAGAGTCCAGAATGGCTGCAGGGATGGAAAGAAGTGATTAGATAAAAGAAGAAATATTAGTTAGATGATGCCAAGATTGTAGATTGTAAGAGGAAAGGTAGACCAATAAAGGTAAAGAAAATATTGTCTTTCGTTTCCACATAAACACAAACTAGAGCAAGAGAGTCCGTAAATTCTAACTTCAGTGAGGACATGGAGAATTGCACAGGCTATCACTGAGACAGCCAATTTCCAGTCCCATTAATGTGCTTAGGTATGTTAACAAAATAGCAATACAACATAAGCTATACATCCAAACTCTGTTTTCACCCAAAGAGCAGAATTCTACCCCAATTCCTCTTTATATTCTGCTTTTTGACCAAATAGTCAAGTGAAATGTTATCAACTGCAACAGCAAGCCAAGGGAATTTAATAATTATCACAATTATCTACACAATGAGTTTTCAAAATCAGCTGCATAGCAAAACAGTACAGAACCAGGACAATGCTTTTTCTGGCCATGGGGGAAATTAAACAGCAAATGGCATCTGTACAAAGTGCTTTCAGTGCATACAGAAGATGGTAGTGAGAAGTGAAAAAATAAATACAACAAAACCAATTATAATTATGCATATAATTCTAACGAAAATGAGAGATCATCTGCAAAATGAAGGATTAATCTCTTGACCATTTTAAAAAATGTTATAAGGTGCATTTATGATCATTTCAGCATCCTGGTCCCAACCCTCACTTCTCAGGAGATAATCATGATACTGAGGGCATTGGATACACAGGTGAGGCAATGTGTACATAATGTAATATAGATGACATGGGAAGCAAGAAAGATACTGTGTTAATTTTACCATCTTACCAGATGTTTAAGTGATTCATACAATAATTGCCTCCCAGAAGAGTCATCAAAATCTCCAACAATCCAGAATGTAAGTGGACGAATATACTTATCGTCTATAAAACAGGGTGAAGCGAAGAAAGTGAATATCATGCAATTCACCACTTTTCAAATAACATTTTCAATTCTCATGGGATATTCCTCAGTAATGACCTCTTGCTCATTATGTCGCATTCATCCAGTTGGAGGGGCACAAGACAAAGACAACACAGTACTTTCCTACACTGGTACTTTCCTCAGTATGGAACAACTAAAAGCCATTTGCGTCGTAATTACTGTATCTTGTTGCTAGTTTATTTACAGCCACAGAACTTGGTGGTAAATTGTGTTGTCCAATTGTAACCAAGTGAAATTGGTGACCAGGATGTCAAATGTAACCTGACCACTGAAATATTCATGATCCTCCTGTGGCAGAATCTCTATCTTGGAAAAATCAGTGAGTGTCACATGCATTCTACTGCTGTAAGGATGTGTGATATAGAATAACATGCATGCAGAAACTTAATAACTTTTAAAGAAAAACAATTTTCTGCACTTTCTCATCAACTTACTAGATTCAAATCAGAGACAGCAAAGGCCATCAGCAGCATGCTTATTAGGTTTTTGATTGAGAATGCTATGATGTATTTTTCAGTTTAAAACCTAGCTCCCACTAGAGTGGATCACCAATCCCTTTAATTAAATGACAAGAGCCCCAAGTGCCTTAGGTGAGTAAATATGCAAGAATAAAGTAGCTGTTGTTTTTCCAAAGATTATATTTGCATTAAGTACTTGGGCTGAACATTTCACAATGTTGAAAAGACTTCTGGATGAACTGCACATCACATGTCATTCACTGCAACTCAGAGCATATTTAAAGCAATCTTATTTTTGCACTGCAACATTATACATCTCAATTTTTAGAGCCTGCATTGGATTAATCTTTGTAAATGACTTGTTTGGTCTTCTGACTCTCATCATATTCACCATATTTTACAAATGTAGTGTTGTGTAGAGGTTTGCCCAGGTAGATGGTAGGACAGCCAGGTTTCTGATGTAAGTGGCCTAGCTACAGCTAATATGCCTTGGCCACAGGATACACAAAGTGCAAATTTGCATCCATAATATTTCATGCGGTAAAGAATTATCAACTTCAGCTAAGCAGTGACCAAAAGGGCTCTTGTGGCGCAGATGTTCTATCCCTACTTCTGAGCCAGGAAGCCTGGGTTCAAGTCTTACCTGTTTCAGAGGTGTGTAAAAGCATCTCTGAAAGTAGTGACTAAAGACCACATAATTCCCAAAGAATAAAAACAGCATGAAATATTAACACTACTCAAGATCATGGAATCTTACAGGGCAGAACAAGTTCATCGAGTCATTTGTGCCTTTGCCAGCTCTTTGAAAGAGCAATCCAATTTGTTGCTCTTACCTGCTCTTTCACCACAGCATTGCAAATATTCCTTCTGAAGTATTTATCCAATATCACTTTGATGGATCAAAAGGGAAATATTGTGTCAAGTAATCAACTTCATGGAAGCACCATCATTGGGCTCAGTGCTAATCACAGTGGTTAATCTCGCTGGCAAATGGTGTGTGGGATTAAGTGAGCAGAGCTGTAACAGTTTCAAACAGTGTTTTTCACACACAAGGTCATGGATAGGAGCAACACTGAAAATTCCAACTAATTTGCTCAAAATTTAAATTGATCCAGCAAACCCCAGGATGAAACAATACATAAAAATCAAAACGATCAGTGTTAAAATACTAAACCTTTAGGCCAATTAAGTGAATCAATACAGTCAGACTGCAATTTCCACAAATAAATTTTGGCAAGGCACTGAAGTACTATCCTGCATTGTTGGGTGGAAGTGCTCATCATTTCCTTCAGATTCTCACCGAGTGGTTTTTTGATCATGCTGAGTTCCAGCGTGCAGACCAAATATTGCCTCATTAGGTGGAAAAGCAAAAACATTTTTGTTGAACAGTGGGGACCACCTTAGCTCAGCTCCTCATAGCTGGTTTCAGATTTGGGCTAATAATGACCTGGGTGCAGGTTTTGACCATGCTGCGGATAGTGACTATCAGAAAGAGGTCAAAGATAACCTCTAAACATGCAGTCCAGTCCTCACATTGTAATTTTGCAGCACTGTGTTAATGATGTGGTTGGGGACTTCTCATCTGAACTGAAACAGGACTTTGATTTGGTAGTGTGGCTCTATTTGTGTTTGAGCTTTTAGGAAGATCACCTCTGGAAATTTCACCTGTACTTTTGGATGTTGAAAGAGCTTCTGATTCTTTCCAAACTTACAGATATTTCTTTTAATAGTACATGCAGGTTGCATGATTCATACATTATTAGTTACAGATTCATGCTACAGCTTAAACCTGAAGAATTATACCAAAATACAATTTGAAGATCTGAACTGTTTTAAAAGAAATTTGTCAGACACATCCATTGCCACGAAACTATACCTCGAAAGTTCTGATATACCTAGACAACATTTTGAATGACAAATTGACACATGATTGTGGGGTTTCAGTACAAGAGTTGGCAATAAAGGTTTGGCATGCGGTCTGTCTGCACGAGTGTCTGCCTTCTGTGGGTCTATTTATCACAAGCAGTAGGATTCATTTCTCATCCATCATTCTGATATCAAGGGGAATTTCAGCTCAGAGGAGATAAAATGCAAAGAAACATGATAACAGCTGCTTAAAGTTTGGCAATAAGTATCAACTATCATGCAGGTGAGTTAATTAAAGTGAAGGGGAAGGCTTAGGAGAGTACCATTTTAATGATACACGACAAATATAACATGATTGTATGGAGAGAATCAGCAAATTCTGCAATAACCTATTGAAAATTACAGGAATGCCATGCAAAAACTAGTATATTTGCTCTCATCTCCCAATTTGTTTCCAACATTTTATGGCACAACTATCAAAATAAATACATGCTACAGCAATTCTATGAAAAAGATCCATGTTAGTACGGTGCAAGATTAATTAGCTCATTGCAAATTATTCTTCCACTCAATTGCATACTCGAAAATGCAGCACAAAAGGTACATTATATATTTTACGTGGCAGACAAATAACCAGCATGCTTTCTACGAAATTGGCAGCATTCAAATCATCATTTTACAACTGACCTGAGATGGTGATATCACTGTGTTATTTGAGTTTGATGGCATTACAGCTGGTTGTACTCAATCTAATCCTCACAAAATGCCCAGATGAAATACCCACATATGCAGATTTTCTAGCAAAATCATGGTCAGTCCTTGCCTCCAAGAACTCAGCCTAACTTGTTACTCCTCCACATTCTGGGGCATTTGTTGAACTCAACTGTCATACAGACAGTGAAATGAAGATTCACCAGACTTGTACCCAGGATGGCAGGACTGTCCTATGGACAGAGACTAGGCAAACTGGATCTGTATTCACTGGAGTTTCAAAGAACAGGTGATCTCATTGAAAGCTACACAATACTTAAAGATATAGAATGCATAGATGCAGGTAAAGATATTACCCCGGCTGGCGAGTCTAGAACCACAGGAACAATATAGAACTGAGATGAAAAGCTATTTTACTCAAAGAGTAATAAATCTTCTGAATTCTCTACTCCAGAGGGCTGTGGGAGTTCAGTCTTTGAGTATATTTTAAGTAGAGGTTGATAAATATTTGATTACCAGTGCCATAAAGGATTATAGGGATAGTGTGGGTAAAAGGGATGAAAGTATTTAATCAGCCATGACCATATTAAAAGGCAGAGCAGGTTCAACAGGTTGAATGGCCTACTCTTGTTCCGCTTTGATGTTGGCTTATCACCACATAGAACAGAGATTGAACCAAATGCCTTCCAGGTCTGCATAGTTTTTAACCACATGTCATAGCATACACACCAACTGTGCTGCTAAGGGGCTCCTCATCACAACATCATTGAACAGAAAGTTTCACTGAGCATGGTAAATTTGAATGGCCAAATTTCAGGAAGCAGAATGTATTACCAAATTAAACTTCAAGGCCTTCATCTTAGATTAAGGTATGTTTAAAAACAGTCATTAGATTTTATTTGATCAAATTAAATATCTAGAAGGAATATGCTTGATAGGCCAAATATTCTTGAGCTGACTCCTTCATTTATGTTTAAATTTGTGCAAGTCAGTCAGTCAATTGAAATATGCAAGCTGCAGTATTGATTCTTAAATAATCTACTGTATTGTAAAAAGAGAGTCATGAATACATGTCGAATAAAGTAGTTCACGTAACGCTGAATAATAAAGCAATTGAGTGGAAAAAAAATGAAAAATGCATCAGATTGAGGTAGAAATGAATCAGACTAACAAATAGAGCAGAAAGTTACCATATATCTCTCTTGAAGACATTCCTGCACAAAAGCACAAAGGACAAAAAATAAGAAATGAAAAACATGAATAGCAGAATAAAGTCAAATTTATAGCAAACAGTGTCAAGCTGTAGTCACAGTTATCATGTGTTTTCTGACATTACAGCCTGTGGCATCCAAATACAGAAAGCATCCATTTGTAAATTAAATCACCCGAAGGGGAAATTCTGGAAGAGCAGAAATACCGGAGATGGAGAAAAACACAGCATTAAATCAAATACTACCCTCAGCCAATTATTGAAAACTGTTGTAAATTTTAAATTAAATAACTTAGCAACTTTGAGGTGCCTTTCAGATCTGATTTCATTTGGAATCCCACATAGACTTTAAACTCATGATAAAAAAATGAAAGTTAACTTTAAAAGACAATCTGATTTGATCATTCCATCTTTTAAAAGCGAATTCTTTTCTCCACTTCCTCCAACGACTGACGCCGACCTCTTCCATATAGCATCAGCCCATCAATGTGGGGAAAGCTGATAGTCTGATCTGTAATTAGTCAGTAATAGGGTTGCATTGGTACAAGGCATTCATATTGACCCAGTGTGAATTCATCTCACTTGTATGACAAAACTCCTCTTCTGTTTAAGTGGATGGCATACCAGAGATTCAAGATTTGCAGAGATTTTGCAATAACCAAGGAAACTGTGGATTTGTTCCATTCTCCAACACACTACTAGCACATGTCCAAACAATTGGACTTACTTTCAAGTTCCTCCTATAAATGTAATTCAATCACTGTCTTAATGTAAAAATCTGGATTCTTTTCAGTCAGCTAAATACTAAACAAAATAACATTGATGTTTTTGGGATCTTAAATTAACTTTTTTTCATTATTTAAAACCTTTTAAACACAAAAACCCAACTGCTAGTCCAGGAAACAAATATATAATTTAAGAAAAGCTATTCACATGTTGAGAGAAAACTGAAGGCATTTGTCAAGACAATTCAATTAACCATCCTCCATAACATTTAAATGGTTCTGTCCTTGCCTCAGATTCTCAATTCCTTGCACCAAAAGGAAGTTAGTTCAAAGGAGGTTTTATTTCTTGATTGCATCTTCATTAAAGCACAGGATCAAATTTCTGCATACCACACACAAATCTCCACAGGCAAGTTCCAAAATTAATATCATATCAATTAATATCATAAACTAATATCATAATTTTCTCTATTGCTTTTGGATAAACTAACAAGAATCACATGGGAATAAACCTTTTTAAAAAATTCTTTCAGGGGATGTGGGCTTTGTTGGCACTCCCTAATTGCACTTCAACGTGGTGTGGCAGCTCGAATCCATGTGTACATCAATTGCTTTTAGGAAAGGAAATTTCAGTTCACAGTTGTCAAAATATCACATCTAATCCAAGGACCAAACCTCTTCCTGGATACATGGTACATTGGGTCTTCCACCTATATTTCACCAAAATTATAATTCTTACATTCAAGTCAGTTTTCTTTAATGTTTATCACAAACCAGTTAAAATGTGGAAATTCATGTTCTTTAAATGTACCATTACTGAGAATGCAAATTCACTTGGAAGTAATAAAGTAGTATCTGCCATTCACTGTGAACTTGTAATGATCCTTTTAACACTTCTCAAGCAGCTAACGAACTACTCAACACATCTCCAAAACATTATTAATGCAGCTGTTGAGTGTTGAAGCTTGACAGAAAATGGTTTAAGAGTAACACAAAATGTTATTTGTCATGATGTACTGTAAGCAATGCAATGGAGCATAGCAACAAGATTTTCGGAGCCAGAAATAGCCCCAGATTCAAGAGGAAGAGATATCCATTGTAATACCCACTATCTTTGTGGTTCAAGCTATCAGAAATTGAAGAAACATTTACATTTTGCAAAGAACAAAAGATAATATCTAAATATTACACATGCTATATAAAAGATAGAACAGAAAAATAAAACATTTGCAGCTGATATATTAGCTATGAGAAACATACAAACATACAAACAAATTATACAAAACACATTGGGAAAACATGGTAACACCAGACAACCATTTCCATGGGTCAACACACCTTGTCTCAATCCAAAACACTTAACATAGAAAGCCAAAACTATCAACTAATAGGATTCAATATAAAACAATGATTCAAAATCATTGTTCGATGTTCAAAAATGTGTCAGGAAACTTTAGTAGCTCCAAAGAGGTGGGTATCCCATCAGCAAGTCACCCTTTATTTACAGATGAACAATTCTTGGCTATAGTACCGTCTCACAGAGTAATGCACCAAAGAGTCAGTATCTTTGATACTTCAACCTTTATATGTCAGCCAGAGCTCCCTGATTGGACCAGATTAACAGCACCAATCAAGGAACTCATATTCTACGAGGTCCAGCTGGCTGACCACTTCATCCCCCCACCCCGCATCTGCAGACATAGGCCCATCCTTTCTCTTGAAGAGCCTCCTGGGGCGCTTTAGCACTGGGTCAGGTCCCTCCAACTCAGCATCCAACACAGGTGGTGTGTAACACACGAGCTCGCCTCTTGTGCCAAGAACGCCTCATTGAAATTTCACCCTGCTCTTCTGGCAGCAAAGGGGTCAAAAGAGCTCCTTTCCAGCATGACCAACTCTGATTCATAGGACGCAATGACGTTTGATGGACAGCGCACATTTTCCTCCCAACACCATTTGAGACTTTGTGGCTTTCATATGGTTCGCATGCTTATTCACAACCACTACACCTACCCAAACTTTATATGTCATTGGTCCTGATCTCATGTCAACCATACCAAAATCTTCATTTTGGAGACTCCTGGATGGCCCTGTAGGATTCACAGGCAGTGTTTGTCGACGACCTTGGCTCAGGGCAATCGTTCTTGCTTCCCATAACAATATGCCATCCTCTACTGTGAGCTGGTATCTATGGGTCCAAAAGCGTTTCAATTCTAGTTCTGATGGCCCTTTGGTTTCCCCCATCAACAAACCAGTTGTTTCAATTTGGAAAGGACTGGATCTTTCTGTCCAAAGTCTCATATCGTCAGCTGTGACTGGGACTGTGTCCAGAAAATTTAATATCATCACAGACTCTTCCATTTGGGGTACCACCTGTGGTGTATCTGGTACTGGGAGGTGGCTCAATGCATCCACATTTGCAACACGGCCTCTTGGTTGGTTTTTAGACTTATAATTATTAGCACTCAGTATTACAGCCCACCACTGAATATGGTCCAAAGCTATGGGCGGCACTGTTTTATCCTCTTTAAGCAGACCAAGTCAGGGTTTATGGGCCATGATTATCACAAATTTTCATCCATAAAATGGTATTGGCGGACCTTCCTGATTCCAAATACGATCGCCAATCCTTCTTTTTCTCTGGATGTTTTAATGCTCTGCATTAGCCAAAATCCTGGATGCATAAGCTATTGGGCTTTCCTCTCCATTGGACCATATGTGAGCTCATACCACCCCGATGGTGTGCAGGGAGGCACTACATACCAATACCAGATGCGTCTTGGGATCACAGTCTGCCAACACCTTAAAGGACTGACTTCATTGACAGCTAGGGCTTGTCTATGAGACCATGTCCAAGGCTGACCCTTTTTAAGTAGTTGTTGCAAAGGTGTCAGGATGGATGCCAGGTTATGTATGAACTTCCCATAATAATTTACCAACCAAAGATCTAAGCTCCTGGATAGATGTGGGAGCTGGGACACCTTTGATCGCCCTCACATGATCTTCCAATGGGTGTAAACCAGTCATGTTGACTCTGTAGCCCAAGTAGGTCACTTGAGGGGCATGGAACATGTTTTCCTTCTTAGGCATAAGCCTACCTTTGAAAATTGCCTTAGGACTATATCCAAGTTCTCTAAGTATTCCTTATTAATTTTCCGTTATCAGGATGTCATCTAGGTAAATAATGACCTGAGGTAGACCTTGCAAAATGTTCTCCATTTTCCACTGAAAAATTGTACAGGCTGACGATACACCGAATGGCAGTCTCGTCTCATGACACAAGCCCTTATGGGGATTAATGGCAGCATACTTCTGGGAATCCTGGTCCAAATTGCAAGTAAACATGGTTCATCTCCAGCTTTGTGAAGGACAGCCCCCTGCCAGCTTCGTGCATAAATTCTCTATCGAGAGATTGGTTATTTATCCTGTCAAGAAAAATGGCTTACCATCTGTTTAAATTCCCCACAAAGGCAAACTGAACCAACAGGATTCAAAGTCGGTACGACTGGTGTTGCCTATTCCACGGATTGTACTGGTTTGACGATTCCTTCACTTTGCAGCCTTCTGATTTCTGCCTCTAAGGCAAATGGCACTGGGCAGGCTTTGTAGAATTGCAGAACTGCCTGTGGTCAACATGCAAGGTGGCCTTGGCTCCTCTGCTAGTCTCTAAACTTCCTTGAAGACTTTGGGTATTTAATTAGGACTTCACTCAGACAGCTATTTTCCAATTGAAATATGTTAGCCAATTTAGGTACATCACTCACAACCAATTTCACCCCGTTAAGCTTGGGCCCGAGCCTTTTAATACAATCACTGATAAGCGAACCAGCTTGTTTTCACGTGAGACAGGACCGAAGTTACACCCTTAATCTGTAATGTTTCCGCAGTACAGGTTTTCAGCCGAGCTGAGGTCTTGCGCAACTTAAGGCTGGAGTCCAAAGTGAATATTACTTAAAACTGGTCCTGTGATCACTGATATGGCCATGCCAGTATCAGCCTCCATTACAACGGGGTGACCATTTAACCAGATGTTTATCTTGATTGCTTAACAACATCAAAATCAGAAATAATTTAACTGCTCCCAACCAGATGTAGGTGGACTTTCTAGGGTATGAACTCTCATAGATATCAACGTGTCCGTTCCCTTATTCAATTTAGGTCTAGTAGGACCATTTTGCTGTCTCAAGTCCACGTCGGCAGCAACTACAATGGCTTGCTGGTCAGGATCCTGAAGGAAATTTTAACCCTTCAGTAAAGGCTTGGCTTTGTTTTGTTTTGCTGT